GACTTGGTGTTAGGTTTTAGAGACGGTCGGGTTGTGTAGGGCTAGGTAACAGTTGATAATTATCGAAGAGAACGGTCAGAGTTTGGTAAAGAATTAGAGGTAGATCGTGAGATAGAGACTGTCAGATAGGAAGATCTAGGGAACGGTAGACAGGAGTAGTAGAGAGTATAGAATAGGCTAGTTAGGTAGGGAATTAATGTGATTGTTTTAATTAAAGGACTTTTATCTTTAGATTGGACTTGTGTGTGTTAATTCCAAACTATCACCAGCTGGGTGGTTGCTATTTGTCATCCCTCTCAACTGGCGGCAGAAGATCTAACCACTCACCCGTACCCTCACACCTACCTAGGTCTTATATAAAGCCCTACCTAAATACCAACCTAGGTATTGTATAAAACTTTCCTAGCTTGCATAAAACCTACCTAATTTGTATAAAACTGTCTAGCATATATAAAAAACCTAAATAATTTGTATAAAACCTCTCTAGCTTATATAAAACCTACTGCCTACAGAGCGTGTATAAAACCCTTAGAGCTTATATTAAATCTACTAGCTAGTATAAAACCCACCTAACTTGTATAAAACCTACCTAGCTAGTATAAAACCCACCTAACTTGTATAAAACCTACATAGCTTTGTATAAAACCTACCTAGCTAGTATAAAAACCCACCTAACTTGTATAAAAACCTATCTAGCTTGTATAAAACCTACCTAGCTTGTATAAAACCTACCTAGCTTGTATAAAACCTACCTAGCTTGTATAAAACCTACCTAATTTGTATAAAACCTACTAAATCTGTGTATATAAAACTTACTTCTCGCCGAGACCCCCATGCACATCCAGACAGCAAATAAAACAATCCACTTCATGACGCCCACTAGACAGTCCAATTAAGCTCCTGCAAACCTAGTATAGTATTTCAACGTACAAATTAATGTAGTTTCTTCAGCGAATAATTATCTTTTTTTTCATCACATTTTTCATTAGTCCTGAACGCAATACAACAGAAATGATATCATCTAAACGGTAACGATTGTATTCATTAATTAAAATACTGTATAGTTTTGTTAAATATTCAATGTAAGTGTGTTGGATTAAAGTCCAAGTTGTGTTTAACTGCATGTGTGCTCTAACTGTTACAAAAAATAAATGACAACTTTACGACTAATTCCTAACATGCCTTCTACCTGCCTAGAGTTAACTGATGTCTATTTTAGCTCCAAAGTAAACTTACATGTTTGTGTAAACGTTACGTTTGTGTGTTTGTCTGTGGCGGTGTTCGGATTGGTATCAACACAAGAGAATAAACAACATTTAATAATGAGCGAAAAACTACGTTATGAAATGAATAGATTCCACTTTATAAACACTTGAAATTTTCCGGGGGGCGGTAGACTTTCTTCGGGGGGGGGGGGGGCGGACACTGTTAAAAGTATATATTTTCTATATAAATTATATAAATTTCATTTCGTTCGGGGGGGGGGGGGGGTAAAAAATTTTCCCCCTTCCCCGAAGAGATGCCTGGAAGAAACTCTGCTCTCTCTCCTTATCTATATATGAATATATATATATATATATATATATATATATATATATATATATATATATATATATATGGTAGTATAAGAACAGATGCTATGTCGTCAAACACACGTAAATTGAAACATCAGTAGGAAGACCGTTCTATGTGAATCGGTTATTCTAGAAACTATGTTCTAAAGGTTAATTATTTCGGCTTTTTTTTTTTTAATCCGCATCTTTTGATGCAGAACAGAACATACGATCTTAATACGTTTTTTTACATTGAATTTTACATATTTTTTAACACAATCGAATGCTTAAAAAAAAACAGTAGGCTACATTATTACACATTTTATAAACAAAAGATACTTCGACTCACCGAAAGTTCGCTAGATCTAGTTTTAACGCTATCTCTGTTGTCTGTTCAAGAGCCGTTTTATCTTGCATGCAGGTGTTAAAAACTGCATTCAGATCTTAGACGGACCGAGCTTAAAACCTGTTTTGTCCAACCCCATTAACGTTAAACTACATGTAGCCTTTACTGAGGTTTATTCATCTGTCTTGTAGACAGGTGTTTGTGTAAAAAGAAGAAAAACAAAGTCCATTTTAATTTGTTTGTTGTTTTTTTTTTATGCAAACAAAAACAGGATTTTGTAACACAGTTATTGTCAAGAGAATTCAAATGTTAATTTTCCGTGTATATAATCCAAAAATAAAAAAAAAAAATAAAGTTGTTTCTTTACATTCTTGACGGAGTGGTCTAGCGGTAGAGAGCTGGATTGCTCAGCCGTAAGTCACGAGTTCGAATCCTGGTTCAAGTCAGTAGACCGTCCCTGAGTCCACCCAACCCTGAAGGGTACCTAACTCACGTTAGGGAAAGTAAAGGCGGCTGGGCCACACTATCTCTTCATATGCCGAGGTCACAGAAACAAGTGAACTCTACTTCACTTGCCCCATAGACCGTCAGGTTTGAAAGGGAAACTTTACTTACTTTCTTTTTACTTTACATTCTTGTAAAGTAGACTAGGAGGATAAGAGGGAAAGGAAAACGTTTGTGTTTGTTACAAGCTGATTGAGGTACGCGTTAAGCTGCAATAAATGACTCTACGAATAAGACTGAAACATAATGAAACATCTTAATCTAACATTTCTCTCAAGTGTAGCTCGTCGGTTCCTTGGTAAAACAGCAAATGTTTAAACTTTTTTATGCATAAAAATTACATTAATAATCTTTCTTTGGTGCCATAACGCGACTAAAGTAAATCCATGTTATGATTTTGTGTGTGTGTGTCTTTGGCAGAGGCGTAGCGAAGAGGGGGGTGGGGGGCGTGGGGGACACTTGCCCGAATGGGACAAATGCCAGAATGGACACTTGCCCGAATGGGACAAATGCCCGAATGGACACTTGCCCGAATGGGACAAATGCCCGAATGGGACAAATGCCCGAATGCCACTGTAGACCTAGACCAGTTGTAAAATCTGGTATGGATCGAAAGCATGGATGTTTTTCAAACGCCTAAATGAGAACCAACTTACATTGTACAATAGAAAAAGTATTATTTTCTTGTTTTGTATAGTTTCTTTATAGCTGTTTATGTACAGAGTTTCTTCCAGGCATCTCTTCGGGGGGCGAACCCCCCCCCCCCCCCCCCCCCCCCCGAAACATTTTTACCGCCCCCCGAACGAAATGAAATTTATATAATTTATATAGAAAATATATGCTTTTAACAGTGTCCGCCCCCCCCCCGAAGAAAGTCTACCCCCCCCCCCCCCCCCCGAAAATTTCAAGTGCCCCCCCCCCCCCGTAGAAAAAAGTCTGGAAGAAACACTGTTTATGTAGTGTATTATTATATACTTAAAAAAGATCATTAAGTAGTTTTGTCCAAATGTTTGTTTGTTAACTATCAGTGACACGTTTTGATACTTAAAATAGAACTCCTGGGCGCCCAAATCAATCGGGTACCCCCGAGGAAACGTACACCAATGCCGGGGCGCCAAATGACTCCCACATAGAGAGACACAGAGTTCATTTGAAGGTATAGTGTGGTCAGCCGCCTTTAGCTGGTTAGACGTTCTACTGACTTTAACCTGGATTCGTACTCGAGACTCTCGGGTTAGCAGTCTAGCTCTCTACCGCTAGGCCACGCCGTCCCATGAAGACGCTCAAGTCAAAGTCAACTAAGGCAAGAACGTGAAGAATTTTCATTTGATAATAAAAGAAAATCTTACCGTAACAATGATTTGTACTCTACTTAGTTATGCGTACGGCAGGCTTTTTAAATAAAAATAAAATGCGTAGCGAAGACTGGTGCTACGCTAGGGCATCAACATGGCGGCGTATTCAGTATCACGTGCTTTTAGTCACGTGTTTGTAAGGGGTTTTCTGACTCATAAAATTATCTGGTGAAAATACCGCCACTGACATTAATACAGTCGATTGTTTTTATAATTTCTTGCCTCATTGACAAAATACTCTCAACATCAACTGAGTAATTTTGATTTTATTTTGCACAAAATAATTACCGTTCTAACAATGCACAATTTCAACATTTTCGCAGTTTGTAAAATAACAATTGCACTTAAAACAATGCACACACTTGCAATAATTTATTACAATACAACAATTAAAGCATTAACACATTTAAACGATCTAGTTAAGTTTTAAAGCGGCAAAAAAAAGAGGTATCAGAAAGATAACCAATCTATAAAGTAAGCCCACTCTCTATTCTCTAGTTACTAACGATAATAGAACCTTAGCTGCAGCTATTGGGGTGGACTACACCGCCGGGATATTGGGGAAAAGTCTCTAGAAGAATCAGAGGCGTAGCGAGGGGAGGGGGGCGGGGGTGCGGACCGCACCGGGTGACACCATTTAGAGGCGTGACACCAAGGCAAAAAAATAGCAAAATATATAGAGAAAAATGATAATTCCACTTAATTAAGTGATTAATTTGAGTGTTAAATAGTATTTTAAGAGGTGCAAATCGAAAGTTTGAGGGGGGTGCAAATCAAAAGTTTGAGGGGGGGGGGGGGGGGTGCAAATCGAAAATTGAAAGTTTCTCCCGGGAAGGGTCGCTACGCCTCTGAGGGGTGATACCATTAAGTGTCGCACCGGGTGACACCCGACCTCGCTACGCCACTGAGAAGAATATCACTGCGGGGCGAAGAGAACGGAGCTGTAACAATGTCTATTTTCTTCTTCTTCGTTCTCAATTTTTAATGTAGAGATTCCCTTCAACACAATTAAGTATTGCGTATTTTAAAGCCCGGTCGCGTGGATTTCATTAAAATAAAATTGTAAGTTTAGCTACATTCTACATGGCTTATGATACCATTTGGATATAATGCACAATGAAAAATTTTAGTTGGTGGGGAGGCGGGGGGGGGGGGGGGTGGAGCGGTTTTCATTATTTCCTTGGTCGCTTCGACAGCCCAGCCCACCCTTAGCTGCCGGCAAGTTGGTAATTTTTAAAATCCTTATACAATTGTATTGAAATAGTTCGGCATGAAATCATCGTACTGAACTAATGCACCTGGGCCCGGATCAGGGGAGATGACTCGGAGAATGTCAGTGTTGAACAGTTTGGCAGTTAAAATCCCTAACGCTGACTGATCAAATCTGAAATTTGTGCAAAGAAAAAAAAAATATAAAATATTAAACTGTCGGATTTTTGCAAAGAAAACAATTTAAAAAAACAAACGCTCTAAAAAATAACAAGTAATTATATTTTTTTTAAATAATAATAATTACAAACGTTTAATAACTAGTTTTTATATAACTATGCAATAAAAAGAAGGAAATAATTAATTTTCATAAAATATATGTTATTGTACTACTATGTACATAATTATACAGAAAAGCGTGGGTCGCTAAATAATTTTTTTAGTAAGGGTACTAATTGATTCTATAACAACCCACTTTTTTCTATGAAAATCAGTTAGTTTAACTTTCTCCGATACAAAGTATAGAGGAAGTATTGTAACAGTGATCGTGTAGAAAAAAAAATCGAGACTCCCAGAGTCAGAAAAACTTTTTGTAATCTTGTCCGTCTGCCTTTCTACCTGCCTGTCTGCGCGCACGTGAACACGATAATTTTAGTACCGTTTGACTAAAGTTTGCGAAATTTCATTTATAAGTGTTACATCAAACTTGTAGTTTTTATCATCTTTTCAGCGTTTTACAGTAGGACTTACTCCCCTTTCGGTTACTTAAAATCATATAACTTGAGTAATGTTTTACACAAAGTTGTAAAAATTAATGTATTCTTAACATTCATTTAATTTTGTACTCCTTCGATACCTACTTGTATTTAAAATCGTTCATGCGTGAACACTACGTAAAATCTAAAATTGCACAGCGTATTTCATAAGCCAGAATTCTGAACCATTTTCAGTCACCACCTAGTCAATAACTATTAGAAAAAAAAATGGCATCAGTGAACTCTGTAGATAACGACGTATGATGTAACATACCTGTGACACCTATGGTACGCCACAGGTTTTATACAGTTTATCACTAAATCTGGATCCACTGGACACATACACTCAGACACCAAAGCACATTTGGCCCATGGCTCAAGAAGAGCCCGGATGTTGCCGATGTCGTTCCTGTAGATCCCCACAGCAGCCGAAAGCTCAGGAAACGGGTCAAATGCGCATGGCAGTTCCCCGAAGTAATCAAAAGTCTGAATTTGAAAAAAAAAAAAAAACTTTTTCATTTTACATTTTTTTCGGCAGCCTGATATTTAAGTTTATTTGGACAGTTGTAACGGTAACTATAAACTCATATCTTCTGTTTCTACACCTCTGAAGACATTGTGGCAATTTATATAACGAATTTAGTTCGTTTAATACGGGATACACCCTTCTTTTTGTCTTCCCGTATACAAAGTATAGAGTAAGTATTGTAATCTTGCGAAAAAAATCGAAATCTAAATCGAGATTTTCACAAATCTCGACGTTTTACACATCACTGAGTCGGAAAAACAGAGTTTTGTAATTTTGTCTGTAATCTATGTGTGTTTATGTGTGTATGTGTCTGTGTGAGTCTGTGTGTGTCAGTGTGTGTCTGTGTGTGAACACGATAACTTGAGTACCATTACAGTTCTGTTACATATACAGATATTGTATCGAATACGTAGTTTTGTTTCAACTTTTGAACGATTTCCAGTTACCTTAGGTGGTTCTTTACTTTATTATAACTTGAGCACTGTTTCAGGTTGTAAGACGACAATTCGTAGACAAGTAAACATGCTATTTTTCAATTACTTTGAACCTTTTTAGTGATTTCTGATAACCGGAAGTGGTACTTTAGTCTATGTCTTGATTCTATAAAGCTAATAACTTGAGTGCTATTTCAGCTAGGTAGACGGAATTTTAAACATAGATATAAGATCTGATTCTCGTGATTCTGAGTGATTTTCGGTGAACGGAAGTATGACTACGTAATTTCAAATTTCTGAAAAAACATTACTTCTACTAGACTGATTTCTTCAATCTTTTTACGTAGGTCTAGACTCGATAACACTTAATTGGGACATGTATTTGACTGAACAATATGCTTTGTTAACTTTTTAATAGGCAATCAATGTTTTCTTTATAAAGCACACATTTTCCGATCTACTGTAGGCCTACACAGTTTGTTTACTTTCATTAGATGCGCATTCTTTTCTTTTTACTTTCTCGTATATACGAAGTATAGAGAAAGTATTGTAATCGTGCAAAAAAAAAAATCGAGATTTTTCCAAATCTTGACATTTTACACCTTACTGAGTCGGGAAAACATAATTTTGCAATCTTGACCGTATGTCTGTGTGTGTGTGTATGTGTGTGTGTGTGTGTCTTTAAAAAAACACGATAACTTGAGTACCGTTACAGCTAGGTTAATAAAATTTCATATATAAGTATTTTATCAAAATCGTAGATCCATATCAACTTTTGAGCGATTTCCGATAACCAGAAGTGGTACTTTTTCTACTTTGAATGTTTCAAAAGCCTATAACATGAGTACTATTTGAGATGGATAAATAAAATTTAACATGTAAAGATAAGATCTAATTCTCTGTCGAATTTTGAATAATTTCCGTTGACCGGAAGTAGTAATTTTTGCTATTTTCGATTTCTCAAAAAACGCATAAGAATTTATAAAGTACTAATAATATTCCGCACCATTTTGCACGTTTTATTGGCGTTCACTTGGTGTGCGATTCCTTTTTTATACGAGATTTTATTCTATTTTTAAAAAGTTTAAGAATTTAAAATGGATTTATAGTCATGTCTATATTCCGAGTTGCCATTCCCTGTTGTTTCATATAAGAATATTCGAGAATGTTTAGGGGAGATCACTCCCAGTTTATTTAAAATACGCGAATATCTACTATTAAAATAAAATTGTTTTATAAGAGAATGTTTAGGGGAGATAACTCCCGCTAAATCTATATATATAATTCTCTTCTGGGAGCCGTTAGAAAACAAGCTGCAAGCGCCTCCTTGCAGTCCCCTCTCTTTCTCTCTATCACTATCACTACCACCCCCACCCCCACATTTTCTGGTGAGCTGTGGTCACGCTGTTTACATTTTACAATCATAGAGACGGGTTTGGTGACGGCTATTAGGGGCAGATAATTTAGTTTGAAACGATTTTAAGCTTAGAGGAGGTAACTAAGAGGAGGCTGCTTTCACGTGGGGGGAGGGGATTTAGTTTTTTTAAGCAAATATTTTCAGTGGCAGCATTGGTACTGTCGAATTCACAAATTATAAATTACTGAAAAGTAGAAAAAAAAAACAACTAAATAGCGGCGTATGGTACGCAGCGGGTCAGCTCGTGTTGAATAAACATATTATGTCTGTTCACGCTTAAAAAAACGATACAGTCTGTAACATATCTAAGATACATACATATGTTTCCTATTTTCGTTTTTATTCTTTTAAAATACTACACCCCATTTTCAAGTCGATTCACACGAATCAGTTTTAAGCCTAGCACCGTTACTCCTTATTTGAGACCCTTCCATACCTCTCACTAATCAGTTACCTGTTTTAAGGTATGAACTGGAATCCTTGCCACTGTGGGGTAACGGAACAATTGCAATCCAACGGTAGAAGCCCGCTTCATCACATTCACAATTTTTTTGGTCCACCTTACTGACGAATCTTGATAGATCAGGAGTTTTTTTGCCTTTTCAATTGTTGCCTTTTGCAATACATATAAAAATTGTCATAAATAAATATAATAGATATATATATATATATATATATATATATATATATATATATATATATATATAGGCCTATATATATATACAAATAAATAAATATATATATATATATAGGCCTATATATATAGGCCTATATATATATATATATATATATATATATATATATATATATATATATATATATATATATATATATATATATATATATATATATATATTCTGTCCGGGAACAGTAATATTAGGTCTTTAATATTAGGCTACTACTGAAAATATATGCGTATTTTTATATACATATTTTAAGTTAGTACATAAACGCCATTAATTTCGAAAGCTTAAAAAAAAATATCCTACCCTCACTATTATCGGCTTCCATGAATAGCAAAAGTTTTTTTTTAGATGTGGATGAAACTTTTCGCTTGGGAATGTTACCACTGTACACTTGCAATACTTTTCTGTCTGTTCAGTTACATGGAGAAAAAAAATAGGTAACAAAAGACACACTTATAAATGTTGTAAAAAGTCTTATAATCGTCTTAGGTAAGTTATTCAAGGACAACCAGATAACAACTGTTTTATTGTTTTTATATATTTATGCAGTGGCGTAGCGAGGTCGGGTGTCGGGTGTCATCCGGTGCGGCATACCCCCCCCCGCCCCCAGAGGCGTAGAGACCCTTCCCGGGGACAAACTTTCAAATTTTCGATTTGCACCCCCCCCCCCGTCGAACTTCCGATTTGCACCCCCCTCTCAAATTTTTCTCTATATATTTTGCTATTTTTTGCCTTGGTGTCACCCCCTAAATGGTATCACCCCCGCCCCACCCCCCCCCCTCGCTACGCCTCTGTATTTATGTACTATGCGAAAATACCAAACCCCAATCCCAAATCGAAGTCTAGACCTATATCTTAACCTAATCCTAACCTTCAGAAAAAACCAAAACCTAAGCATTCACCTCAGCCTAAAATTAAGCCCAACCCCAACCCTAGACATTAGTTTAAGCCTAACCATAACCTTATCACTAACCCTTGCACTAACCCTAGCATACAACCCTAGCACTAATCCTAGCTCTATCCATTACCCTAACTAGATCTTAAGCTATGATTGGAGGGGGGGTGGCTAATATCTTTCTGGGCGGGTTGGGGAGGGGGATTAATCGACTGGCGGGAAATTGACAGGGGTAATTACTCCAGGGGATAATTTCGGGGTAGGTGGGGGAATGGATTTGGGGGGGGGGGTATTTGACGGGGGGACAACAATGATTATAAAACACTGACGAAAACATAAGAAAAGAAAATCGAAACTTTCATACCTAAACCAATACACCCTGATCAGCAAAATATCATACCAGGTGCAAACACCAAAAGCTACCTGCACTTAATTAGAGACATCATGCATTACATCACACAGAAGGAAACACAACTAGCATTCTTAGTATCGACCAACAGCCTTTAACAGTGTAGATCATACATGATTAATGAAAACAATGGATGCTTACAATATATAATCCTATTTTATAACAACAATCGAAATAATTGAAAACAATGCACATATTCATTTAATAAAATAATTTACAACATAATCACCCGCGCAATTGTTTACATAAATCAGTCAGACAAGGATGTACTTTAACTCCCCTACTATAGCCTACATTCTAGTCCTAGTACCGCTACTGGAAAACATTTGACATTGCAACTTGATTCAAGGTCTGCGCTTTCCAAACACGGCAGGCAAGAAAATACTTGCATACGCGGACAACACAGCTTTCGTGTACAAACAAAATAAAGCGGGAGTGATCTCCCCTGGACTTCCTCGAATATTCTTGCTTAACACTGCGGAAGACGGTAACTCGAGATATAGGAATGATTTTCAATAAATTTAATTTTTTTTATTAAATTTCATAAAAAACGTTTTAATGACAAGCTTTTATGTAATAATGCTCTAAAAAGTAGAAAATAAATAATACACTCCTATTTAAATTACTAAAGCATTATTGAAGTAGATACACACAAAATAGGTCTATATCATTTTTTAACACTACAAGAAACACTATCAAACACAAGAGCTAGTTGGGCCAAACATGCAAGACAGACAAGTTTATTTAGAATGTTGGCTCGTACAAAGAGCACAGCAAAGCTTGTAAACATATACAAACACCAATCAAACAGTCAAAACAAACAACGCCATCACGCGTATTTTGACCAACATGACTAGACAAAGAACTGAAGACAAAAACTTATGAAGAGTGTTAGAAATTGACTGTTTATAAATCGACTATATTGAGGAGTACTGCTAGTATATGGCTAGTACAGAAGGAAGAATGTTTCATTTGATATGACTCATTTTACACTACATATCTATGATGAATCTCATAAGAATATGTTTGATGGATCCCACATTTTTTTTCAGCTCTGTCCCTAAGCTTATTCACAAAAAAATGCCCTTCTATTTTTATTTGTTTTTTTTTTCCCATTCTTCACCAGGCTCCTCTCCACTCCCCACAAAATTCTGAATCATTTAATTTATTACTGATATTTTCTTCAGGTTTACAAAAAATTAAAATTAGACGTTTTGTATTATATATTATATTTATATAAGTAAATCAAAGAAAGTACATGTCAAAAAGATACCACTGCATATATATATATATATATATATATATATATATATATATATATATATATATATATATATATATATATATATATATATATATATATATATATATATATATATATGTATATATATGTATATATATATATATATATATATATATATATATATATATATATATATATATATATATATACATGAAAAATATATACACACATACTTTTGTTCTCTCCTCCTCTGTGAGCCCAATATCAAACAACACAACTGTAAGATTATGAACCAATGGGAACACAACGGTGTGGATGTTATAAAACATGGCTTGCATAGCGTCGTAATGATTGGACGAGCTGGCTGAAACAATGATGACGTCACTTTCCGGTATTGATTTTGCCATAGACAAAACATTCTCAGACTCTTGGCGTGTTAGGGTTAAGTTGGCAGACGATAGGATCTCAAGCAGCCGCTGTTGGGGGCTTGAGCTCAATGGTTTGGAACATGAACTTGTGCAAGCTGTAATTGTATTTAAAATTGTATTGTTAACCTCTATCAAATTGTACGGAACTTAATGTTATGTTTATGTTTGCGTGTTTATAGAAAGCTAGGCATACTGTCTATCTTCGCTTACGATTTTTTTAAAATGAAATTTTGACTGATTCATTTTTTGGTCATTGCATGATCGGTGTATTTCTTAAGTTGAAACAGTAATTTTTTTAATTAAAGAATCGCTGGTATAATATTTTATAAGTTATTACTCGTAAGGTAAATTAAAACTATAGATATAGATCAAGGTACATACACTGACAACGCCACAGACACAAACACAAACACGGACAACTATATTTCTATTTATTATGCTGTCTATCCGTCTCCCTATCCGTCTATTCATCCGTATGTCCGTTCATCTATCCTTCCGTCCATACGTCCGACCATCCACCCTTCTATCTATCTATGATAGCACTTTAAGCTTCCGCTCAAGTATACTATTATCCTAGCAACATATGTAGAAACTACTAGTTGCAAATATAAAAAAAATTATTACCTGCTGAAGTCTTGTCGCAGGCATTGGTATAAGTTCCCGAGTATCCTCCGAAGACTGCCAATTAATATAATAGTGTAAATTATATATATATATATATATATATATATATATATATATATATATATATATATATATATATATATATATATATGTATATATAAAGCAATGTATGTGGGTCTGTCTGTGTATCTTTTATGCATTACAACACCTTTCATCAGGCAACCATGAAACTTTGGGAAGTTGTAGAGAATAATCATGGAGAGACTTCTGCAAAAAAAAATTTCAAATTCGCAGGCCTTGCGCCCCGGCAGGCTGCGATTTTTTTTCTCTAAATCTAATATATAAAGTTCAATTCTGTATGTTTGTATGTTTGTAATCTTTTTTTTTTTTTTTTTTTTTTTTATGTTTGTAATCGAGGATTACAAACATACAAACATATTACAAATGAATTTAAGAAAAAACAAAAAAACGAAACCTCGATGGATTCAAGTGTTAGATTAATAAAGTGCTCATGGTCTAAATTTATGAGTTAAAAAATTACTATTGAAAGTCTTTCTAAACAATTTTCATTTTATATACTTAGAATAATAACTTTCAATTATGAACATTACACAAAATTAAAAAAGTGTATCAACGTTTATAAAATTTATAAAATTGTGTCTGAAATGTTTTTGCATTTTGTCCTTTAGTTCTCATAACGTGCCTTGATTTAGAAAACACAGTTACTTCCCTTTAAAAAAACATTAAATCGGGGAAAGAAATAATTTACTTTATATTACTTTGTTTTTGGTGTTAGGAAGAAATTAATTATATAATTAGCGGGGATTGATTAAGTGCAATGTCGTTGGTATTTTTAATACTGCCTTTTATTTATTCTATACACTGAACATACTGTTTACTAATTATTTTTTAAAATCAATAACATTTAATAAGCCAGGTCCGACAAATTCTATATGTTTATTTCTTTTCGTTTACGGATAAGCTTGGAGTATTATACTTTTGTTCACTAAATTGAAACAGGCGCGTCCAGCGGCGCCCCTGCACGGTTCGATTTCGCGCCCGGGGCTATCATGTCAGCGCTATGGTGCATAATTTCGTTTTAAAAAGTGCGATAGACTATGGATAACAAAGGTTACTATAGTCTTTAAGTGAATCAAATCCGGACGTCCTCCGGCACCCCGACAGGGTGCTATTTGGCGCCCCGGGTCTTCGCTTGTTCGCTATGGTACCTACGTTTGCGTAAGTGAGTTCAAAGACTATAAATAGGTTGGGTACTATAGTCGTTTACTACGTTGAATCAGGCGGTTACGCCGCACGTCGTCATGTTGCGATTCGGCGCCCCGGGCTAGACTGTGGACACTTTGAGTTTATCTTTGCGTTTGTGTTTTCTTTGTGTTTGAGTTTGGGTTTTCGTTTGTGGTTGTGTTTGCGTTTGGATTTCGGTTTGGGTTTGTTTTCGTTTGCTTTTTACTTTCTCGTATATACGAAGTATAGAGAAAGTCTTGTAATCGTGCACAAAAAATAAATCGAGATTTTTACAAATCTCGACGTTTTACACTTCACTGATACGTAAACACATAATTTTGCAATCTTGTCCGTATGTCTGTGTGTTTGTCTGTCTGTCTGTGTGTGTGTGTGTGTGTTGGTGTGTAAACACGATAACTTGAGTACCGTTACAGCTAGGTTGATGAAATTTCATATATAATTATTTTATCAAAATCGTAGATCCGTGTCAACTTTTGAGCGATTTCCAATAACCGGAAGTGGTACTTTTTTACTTTGAATTTTTCAAAAGCCTATAACTTGAGTATTATTTCAGATAGATAAATGAAATTTCACATGTAAGTAAAAGATCTAATTCTCTACCTTGTGTTAAATTTTGAGTAATTTCCGTTGACCGCAAGTAGTAATTTACGCTACTTCCGATTTCTCAAAAAACGAATGTAAATTTTTAAAGCACTAATAATATTGCGCACTTGGTTTGCAATTCTTTTGTCAACGAGATTTTATTCTATTTTTAAAAAAATTAAGTTTTAAAAAATGGATTAAAAATCATGTCTATAGCCCGAGTTCCCATCCCCTGTTATTTTATAAAAGAATATTCGAGAAAGTTTTGGGGAGATCACTCCCGGTATATTTTCTTTGCGTTTATGTTTTCTTTGTGTTTGTGGTTGTGTTTGTGTTTGCGTTTGTGTTTTCGTTTGTGTTTGTATTTGTGTTATGTTTGCGATGTTTGTTTTTTTTTGGTGTGTTTTGGTTTTGTTTGGTTGTGGTTGGGTTTGTGTTTGCGTTTGGATTTGATTTCGTTTGCTTTTTTTCTTTGCGTTTTGTAGTGTTTGTGTTTTCTTTGTGTTTGTGGTTGGGTTTGTCTTTGCGTTTGTTTTTGTGTTTTCGTTTGTGTTTGTTTTGTGTTAGTGTTATGTTTGCGTTTTTTGTGTGTTTTGGTTGGTTGTGGTTAGGGTGGGCAATACCGGGTAAATGCTGATTACTAAGCACACAAGTTATGGCCAAAGCCCGAAGAGCTTTGCACTGAAAGAGTATTTCGTACATTGGCCGGCCAATGCGCGCACTGGCCGGGATGTCCTGGCCAATATCATAACTGGATTAAATTGTGATCGCGTTTTCATTATTCTGGGTGCGGTTTCATTGTGGGTAACGTGTTGTTTGGCTCTCGCTTGTATAGCATTCTATATGCAATGCGACATGGACCAAAAGGACCGTCAGATCAGACATAGGCCTACCAGGTGGCTGTCAAAATAAATAATCCAAATCCTAATGGAAAAGAATTTGTGAATCAAGTTTTTTTCTGAACTAAAGAACATGTGGCATTAACTTAAACTAGTTCAGAGAAAACCAAGGCATAGCCAAAGCCAATGTTCAGTAGAACGTGCGAACTAAGATGTTCAAAACATGATGATGACAAGGATGCAGACAAATGAAGCAGCTTATTGGGCTGAGAGTCTTAAATTCATTCAATTTATGAAAAACCGTAATTTTCATCAAGGAATCCAACAATCGCCATACGAAACCATTTTTGGGTGCAAAGCATAAGTGGGACTTAGCACTTCAAATATACCAAGAGAGGCTCTCAATAATTTAGCTACTGAAGAAGATCTTGAGAACATTGAACAAGAAATGGAGGTTGCCATAAATGCAACATCTGCTGCCGTGGCGCAATGCCCAGACCAGCTGCGTTACAATAATAAGGCCAACAAATTCTGTGTAGTTTGTGAAAAATATTGTAGTGCAGCCCATTCTTGTGGATCCTGCGGCAACGATGTCCATGCAATATGCGGAATAGCCGATGAAGCAGAATAGGGGTATGGAGGGAACATTACTTTCAGAATCTGTCACAATAAACAAGAAACCATGGACAAGAGGTCAGCATCTCATACTAGCTTGCAAACTTAAGGTGCCAAGATGCTAAAAAATTTAAACAAGCTGAAGTGGGAGATACTGGTCGCATCCGTATACCAGATGTTGACAGAGGTCGCGGTTATCCTCGAAGCAGTAGCGTACGCAGGGGGGGGAGCAGGGGGAGCTGCCGCTCCCCCTCTGGCCATTTTTAGCAAAGTGGCGCCTTTTTGGAAACTTTTAAACTCAAAGTTTTAAACATTGATATTTGTTAAAAAATTATCTTTGGTCGGCACATATGAAACGTAAATCTCTGTGAATATTGTTTTTGCAATTACCAGTAAAAGGTGTGTGAGCAATATAGTGATCTAACCCATACCTTCTCATTATGTCAAAAAATTATCTTTAAAGAACACTAAAAGTCAGTAGCTAATTAAAAAGAGCATGATCTAAAATGTAAGACCGATAATTTAGTTATATGTAGGCTATTATTCCGAATCTTATACATCTATATTTAAAAGCTGAGTTTTATACCAACTCTGATTAAAAAAACTTTCATTATGCTGTAAAAGTTTAGCATTTATGATTACAATATATTTAATTCTGATTGTAGATAAAATATTTTTGTAAAAACGAATAGTGTTAAACTACTTTATTAGATTCTTAAGTAGTTATTGATTTGTTTTGATATTTATAATAAAATATGTAGACATATACATATTTATATTAAGATATTGATTATTTCCCCTTTTCGCTAGTCTTAATATAAGTCCCAGGAATTATTATGCATTTTTTTTACAAGGATTACGAAACAGATTATGCCGTTTATTGTTTTTGGTTCTAGTGTGATTATATATATATATATATATATATATATATATATATGTTTAGTATGAAACCATTTTTTTTTGTTTCATCGGCCTACATTGTGTTTTTTTTTATTTCTACAGAGTGCTAATTTAAATTTATTTTACATCATATCAAAGTAATATCATACAGCTGATATATATATATATATATATATATATATATATATATATATATATATATATATATATATATATATATATATATATACTTATATAAGAAGATATTACAAATTCGGCGCCTTTTTTTGCAATTTCCGCTCTCCCTACACCGAAAACCTGGATACGCCTCTGCCTCGAAGCGTCATTGCAGTTGTCATGAGCGTCGAGCGCGCTTTCTACAAGCTAGGAACGGTACATGGTGTATTTAAACAACTATATGCTAGAAGTGAGTTTTCAAATCTTCACTAAAAACTGCTCTCATTGTCGCCCGTTGGCACTGAGGTAAATCACTAAGAACCATCGCAAATTCACAATCACTGACCGGCAGCTAAGGCTACATTTACTGCAATTGCACAACCTAGTTCACAACAAATCGCTGAAACGTAAAAATAACAAGCTACTATGTAATCTAAATAATAATCAACTAGGCCTAAGACTTAATTTTTATGATCCTTACGGTATAAAAAAAAACAAAATCTGCTCATGATCTTCTAATTCGGACTTCGACCGGTCGTCCCTAGCCAGATGATCTTCTAATTCGGACTGGCCGGCCAAAGGCCGAAATCAAGAGCCATTTCAGACTTTGGCCGGTCCACCATGGCCAGTGCGTGGATTGGCTGGCCAAAAGCCGAAATGAAGTAAAGTTTCGGACTTTGGCCGATCAATGAGAGGCTATATTGGCCAAAACGCGCATTGGCTGGCTAATGCGCGTTTTGGCCGACTTCGGGCTTTGACCGTAACATATATATATATATATATATATATATATATATATATATATATATATATATATATATATATATATATATATATATATATATATATATATATATTTGTTTCATATTTCTTTATTAAAAACGTTTATCGTAAAAATACATCTGAATTAAACTAAGTACCTAACACAAACATCACAATATATTAAATTTTAATGGCAGCCCACCATTTACCCTATTCTGATTATATAAATAAAGTATAAAATGTACACAAAATTGAAACAGTTATTCCAAAATTTTCAAACCTCTGAAATTTTCTGCAATGCAGCCAAAAATTTGATTAGCATTAATCAGACACACTATTATTGCAAACAGGCTGGAAGCAAGCAATATATACTTCTTTCGAGACCATATGGACTTAAAATAACCTGTTGAGTAATGAAATATTTAATTATATGTTTTGTAGATGATTTAAAAATAATTCACTCGCTATTTGTTTAAGGAAAATAAAAAGATAAATGTTTTTTTTTTATATAAAAAATACAATCTAAAAACTTTAAACTTGATAATGTTGTATTTATTTGGGCCAACTTAGATCTATATATTTTATCAAAATTTAGAGTCAAAGTGGATATTTTTAGGAACAAAGAAAAAAGAATATTTGAATACAATGAAAAATAGCTTTCTACATTCCTAGAAGAAATGACTGAAGGCCGTTTATCAAAAAGAAATTTGATATTTTACAAAATAATTATTTTGTGAATTTAAAAAAAATGTAGCCTATAAAACTAATTTCATCCGATTTTCATCAAAAACAATTCTAAAACTCACAATTTTTTAACAAGTGAAAAACAAGCCGAAACTTTCTACTACTTTATAGATACATATGATCGTAATATACCGTGGCCTTTAGAAGTGTTGCTGATGAGTATATTTGGAGTTACACTGATGATTTTCCCGAGTTCTATGCCGTAAAATTGACAAAACGGAGAAAATCTAAAATGAAGCTTTTTTGACTCAATATTTTATCATATAAACGTATGTATTTGCAACATAATGTATACATTCTTAAATTAATTACTTTTCTGATAATACTATTTAGGAAAACAGCAGCTTACACCGTTTAAAAAAAACGTTTTTTTTTACCAACCTTCACTAGATGTCAAAATCACCACACACACAAAAAAAATAAGATAAACAAAAATGATTCTAGATTAAAATAATTTATACTTTTTACGAATGTTGAATACTAGTCCCCTCTTAAAAAGCTATTACAAAGTTTATTAATTTAAAGGCATGGTTGTACAAGTTTAGATCACAATGCATATCTATTTGCAAAAGCTTGCAAAAATAATAATAAACTATAAAAAAATAATAATAATAATAAAAATAATAATAAATTATTAGCTGTAGAATAAATTTTGCTTGAAGATGAGTATGAAATTCGATTTTTTAAATGAAATAGTCATGTGATATTTGATCAGTTGCAGCGGTCTCATACACATACAACTCAGAATATTTGTAAAGTAAATTTTACAAAAAGTATTTTATGTTACCGTTTTAAAATTATTTCGGATTTAATATTGAGGTTTAAAAAGTTACTTACTGAGCAATACTTGTACAAACATTTTATGATTACTTTACTTTACTTTACTTTACTTTGCAAATAATTTATTTTGTTTTCGCTTGTAAAGTTATGAAACGAAATACGTGCGTTTATACTACTTTAGATTTCGACTAGCTTTTTCATCTGATCAAATGCAGGTCAGCTTTTGAAAAGAGCTAATATGTAAAAACCAACAGCAAACCTGCAACAGAAATTCTAAACCAAGCCGTCAATGTCACGTTGCGTCTCATTTGAATCTTTTCAAAATGAAAGGGTCTTTTATTAGTTAACTGAAAAGAAAAAATGAAAAATAAAACAGCCATTTAGAGTAATACGTGACGCACATGGACGGAACAAGGCGTTTGATATCAGCTGAATGTTTCGAGATTTTTACCTGTGCGTATGAGTGTGTGTGTGTGTGTGTGTGTGTGTGTTTGTGCTTGTGTGTAATTGTGCTCAATGAGATGGATTGGTGCACGAGATCGAAAGGTCCCTTTGGATATGGATCAAGGGGTGGGGTGGAGTTGGGTGGCGGGGGGAAAACCAGACCAGTTGGCATAAAGATTATTTAAGGGCTGCTATTTTACGGTAAGCTTCTCTTCTGACTGGGCTGAATTGCTACGTATTGGATGTTGTAGCATATAGTGGCTTTATTAATCACTTTGTATATGATCGATGCAAGCAAAATAAAACAATGTATATATATATATATATATATATATATATATATATATATATATATATATATATATATATATATATATATATATATATATATATATATATATATATATATCGCAATAGTGCTCACAGGAGAGCGGGTACGCCTAATCGCCCCCTGTTGGGTCGCCGGAGGACGCGTCTGATTCGATATAAGGAACGATTATTGTTGTCGGTGTTTCTTCCAGACCTTTTTCTCCGGGTGGGGGGGGGGGGGGCACTTGAAATTTTCGGGGGGTGGGCGGTAGACTTTCTTCGGGGGGCGGACACTGTTAAAAGTATATATTTTCTATATAAATTATATAAATTTCATTTCGTTCGGGGGGGTGGGGGGCGGTAGAATAGTTTTTTTTTTTGGGGGGGGGGGGGGTCTTGACCCCCCCCCCCCCCCACCGAAGAGATGCCTAGAAGAAACTCTGATTGTTGTCCATCGTGCCTTTAGTGTAATGGCTTTTGTTTAAAATGAACTTAGGCGCCATAGTACTGACAGCGTAGCCCGGGGTGATCGAGTCACGTAATGGCCGGGGCGATCGCATAAAACATATTGAAATATATAAATCGCTAAAATAAAGGCAACATCTAGTAGGCAATTTACAGACGTTTATTTCTCTACCACAGATAGGAATAAACAGTCAAGCAAACACTTATTCTAGCGCACACATTTGACAAGAGTCCCGGTTCCTCGTTTACCTTTGTCCGTATTCACACCGTCGTGCCTTTTTAACGGTGACATTTTGACAGGTCCTATTCAACGCGAATCGGGCAAAAGTATTGACGTGTCCATGCGAGACCATACGCTGTGATCGATTTATTGCACCGCTCGTATGGCGTAATAAAATGCGTAACATTAACAATGAACGTCCTGAGGAGTTGAAAAGTTTAAGCAGTATTTTGCCTTTAAAAAAAACCATTGAGCCTTGCGAGCCAAAGTATTACCCAGAATGTAAAAAGGTCTGCGTTGGTTTCGACGATACTATAAATAGATAATTAAATTAATTATTTTAAGTTAAATTATATAATTTAAATGTGATGTATACTTTAAGAAGTATTAAAAATATTACTTCAGCTAAACCATAATATTATTTTTTGTCCGTCTCTAAGTAGTGTAAAATCCATTTTAAAAATTATTACTTCAGAAAGTTGCATTTTGTAAATTACTGTTTTTCCCCAAACATGTGCTTTGTTCATAAATACAGCCTTTTGTCGGTTTTTAGGACCTTTCGGTGGTATTATCTTTTTTTTCTTACCCCAGAGTCGTTCTACGACCTTACATCTTCTTTTTGATTTCCGCTTGCTTACTTTGGTGAAAAGCGAAGACTATTTTCAAAACAATGTTTAGAAACTTTGGCTCTGTACAAGCTTTTATCTAATTAGGCACCAGTGGCGTAGCGAGGTTGAGTGTCACCCGGTGCGGCACTTAATGGTGTCACCCCCCAGAGGCGTAGCGACCCTTCCCGGGGACAAACTTTCAAGTTTTGCAACCCCTCAAGTTTTCGATTTGCACCCCCCCCCTCAAGTTTTTTTCTATATATTTTGCTATTTTTTGCCTTGGTGTCACCCCCCTAAATGGTGTCACCCGGTGCGGTCCGCACCCCCCGCCCCCTCGCTACGCCCCTGTTATCACCAACATTTTTTTTTAAGTGTGGGTGTTAAGTCTTTAGTACTGATTAATTAAGAATTGCCATACATCATCTCGCATGTCTTAGAAGACAGCCGGCAGCCATTATCATACCCGTTAGCCCAGCTTTCTCGGCGTGAGTTTTTGAGACTTTCGCATCCTGTATCTGGGTGTAATACCTGGTAGTAAATCTCTATGGAACTCCTTTAGATGATTTCCTATAAAGTAGTTTAAAGGTATCAATTACAATTTAGCTTTTAATCAAACTCACAGGTTATGAATATGATTAGATTTATACTTAAAGTTTCAGTTATGCCTAAGTTGGAGATACATAAGTTTATACAACAATATTTAATAAAATGAAAAAACCATTGCAAACAATGAACCTCAAAATCTCAATCTTATTAGAGAAAAGAGCTGTGGAAAATGTTTCGCTCATAATTTTATCGAACACTATTGTTTTAAATTCAGAAGAGTTTATGTGCGAAGGTTTAGCTCTAAAGGCTTAAAACAAAGCTGTCCTATTTGTATAATCTGTGATGTTCATGTTAAGCCTATAACTAATATATAACTCTACATATGTTTCAATATCTGTGTCTCCCTTTTCAACCATTTTCATGAGACAAGATTTCCCTTTGTAATCCTGCAAGTTGATTGAAGCTCCAGCCTCTAACAAAATCTTCTGGACAAACAAGACAATCGAGGCAGATCTGCTTTAATGTACTACAGATGTGTCAATACAGTGTGCTCGATTAATTTTTGTTCCCCATAATTTGTGTTATTTTGTTTAAAAATATGTTGGTCCTTGGATTAAAAAACGAAGCGTTCTCGCTCTAAAATTTACCTGACCCAACAACACAGCTTATTAAAAATGCCATCTTTACTTTGTCCATATAAGTTGTAAAAATCATGTTTTCAATTGTACCAAGGTTCTTTTTCAAGTTGCTGATGTTTGAGAAATAACTCTTAATTAAAACATTAATTCTTGATTAATTTTATTATAATTATTATTTTCAGATACGCTTATCTATAATTACCCATAGTGTATTTTTAAATAATTGCAATTAATGACTAAAATGATATTTACGACTGCACGTTTTGATACTATAGTATACCTTTACAAACTTAACAGTAAACATTTGATATGTGCTGACTATATACTATATGTAATCACATTGTAAGACATTGTATTGAATAAAATTGCTTAGAAATAAATTTTAGTTTTTATTAATGCGCCCACACTACACAAGTGTTTGCAAACATTGATCTAGTTTAGTGTCTTTAGACATTAAAAATTGTTCGATTTCGCATCTGTTGATAATATTGTACGAACAAAGATTAAAATAAAGTAAACCTGCTCAAATGGGAAAACGATATAATAGAAAGTGTGTACACTACCATGTATCATCTATTCAGTTAAGGGTAGACTCAGAGCTGTAGACTCATGATGTCTCCGCAAACCTTTCCAAAAATTTTGCATTTTTTTTGGTGTCACGTTTTCCCTACTACTTTATCATTTTCACTGGATAAAAACATCCGTCTGCCTGTACAGTTTACGATTTTGTGTCACCCCATGCAGTGTTTCTTCCAGACTGCTTTCTCCGTGAGGTGGTGGGGGGGGGGGGGGGCATTTGATGTTTTCGGGGGTGGGGGAGGGGCGGACTACATTTTCCGTGGGGGGGATGAGAAGGACTTTGGTAAAAGTATGTTTTCTGAGCCGACCCCCCCCCCCCCCCCCCCTGGAAGAAACTCTGAGCCCACCTTGTAACGCTACTGGGGTGGACTCAGGGACATTCTGCAGAACCGATTCCGTACAGAGATCCGAACTTGAGACTTACGGGCTACCAATCGATCTCTCGATCGTGGTGGTGGTGGTGAGGGGGGGGAACTAGTACTCATTTGAGTACATTTTACACAGACGTGCAACACATTTGATGTTGTAGCCACATCTATTTTATAACTTTCTCTGTTGATAGTTGATTCAAAGCAAAAAAAAAATCTATTTGATGGACTACAAAAAAAAATCTGTTGCCTAAAAAAAAGCTTAGATTACACACGTTGTTTTGCTAAATTTGAAGGGGATCTGTCCATGCATCATAAAAATAAAAAGTGATAATAACTGTCAATAGTTGTATTTATAAATCAGTATTAGAAATGTAATGATAGTTTTTCAGAGCATGTGCCTCCCCCTCCCCCCACCTGCAGGATTTTTACCTTGAATGCATGTGTGGTAAAATAGATTTTAAGAACTAAAATATTAGCGTAAGTTAATAGCTTTAGTTATCAAATGTGCAAACTAAATTTTATAAATATTAAGCCACTTTTATTGAAATAGATAAAAAAAGGGAAACAATTTTTATTTCAGGCAAACATTATTAAACATAAACTTTGTTTAAATATTAATCTTTTGTCCAGCAGGTAAAGTAGTCACCTCAATAGTAACAGGTGTATAGTCACCTTCCATTACATAATTATATAGTCTAACCATCATCACACATTTTCAAACAGTAAAATTTTTTTTTAGACCAGAGACAGGAATTCAATATCACAAGTGTAAATTACCTTGATGAGTAATTTAAAAATACAATTTGCAAGCAATCCCATTTGAATATAAAGCAAGAGTAAGTTAACACTTAACAGATAAATTTGAAATAAAAACAATGATAAAGTAGCTAAGAGAAAGAATATATTTATATTTATACAACTTTTCCACCCCTTATCCTAAGTTGTTTAGGTTTAGTTACCCTTTTGAACCTGGCTATCCATGGGATAGATGAAGTAGAGTTCACCTGTTTCAATAACCTCAGCATGTGAAAGGATAGTGTGGCCAGCAATATGCCCTGCTGCATTTAAGCAAGAGAACTGGCTGGACTCTGGGACTTCCTACAAACTCAATCCTGGGATCTGAACATGAGACTTCTGGGTGAGCAGTTGTTCACTCTACCATTCAACCCCCTACAGTTTGTTCAGGTTAATAAATCATTTTCAAAAGCATAATTAGAATTTTCTTGAACAATTTTTGTACTTAAAGTTTAAAAAAAATTAAACCATATCTTTAGCCCTTTTAAAACTAGGTTTTACTAAAGAATAGAAAAAAAAGCTGGTTACTAAAAGAAAACAGGGAAATCTATTCAATTATACGTTTTAAACATTATATATATATATATATATATATATATATATATATATATATATATATATATTATATATATTATATATATATATTTCTTGAAGCTATTAAGTTCATTAACTTTTTTTAAACATGCCCACAGGATAAAGCATTCATCTATTATATTTAAAGATACAATAACAAAAATTATTCACTTACAATATCTGAACATACATACAGTAGAATGAATTCAGCAACAAAATTGCATTTAAATCTTTACAATGAAAATTATTCAGCTGCAATATGTAAACATTCATCAAACATTGTATTATAATATAATCTCAAATATGGCCAAAAAAATTATTCAACAACCATTTTCATTGCATCTATATGAAATAGGCAGGATATTTAGCAAAACATATTATAAAACAGTATTAACAATTCAAAGAACATTTAAAAAATAAGAAGAGTAATTGGCATAATGTATCATGACATAGTAGCCTATAAACAATTCAAACAATGTATGTAAAAAGTATACGTACTTGTTAAAGCACTGGAAACACTGACATAAAAGTACTAAAGCAGATGTACTGTTTTAAACACAATGCACTAAATAAATTATTTCATCAATTCTTAAATTCATTATTCCCCAATCAGGAATTAACAGTTAATATTTTACCATGTGTTACTGTTATGTAAGATAAAAGTTCCATGTTCCTCACCCCACAGTAATTAAATTTTTTTTACAGATTTCTACTGTTATGAAAGATGAAGGTTCCATATGCCTGTTTTTTTCCACCTCTCTGGAATTTAAAGTCAATATTTCACGATGCACTACTGTTATAAAAGTTCCATGTTCCTGTTTTATCCCAGCTCACCCCATAGAAATAAAAATAGTTCACACATTGCTACTGTTATGAAAGATGATGGTTCCATGTCCCTGTTTTTTCCCACCCCTCAGGAATTAAAAGTTAATATTTCACCATGCGCTACTGTTATGAAAGATGAAAGTTCCATGTCCCTGTTTTTTCCAACTCTCAGGAATTAAAAGTTAAAATTTCACCATGCGCTACTGTTATGAAAGATGAAAGTTCCATGTCCCTGTTTTTCCCACCCCTCAGGTATTAAAAGTTAAAATTTCACCATGCGCTACTGTTATGAAAGATGAAAGTTCCATGTCCCTGATTTTTAGCTCCTCTTTGACTTTATCCCGCGGCTCCAGGTAAAACTCTTTGGCCCCCATCGGGAAAGTACCCCAGTGTATGCCGATGGATGTCTTACAATTGATGTCACAGTGAATATCCACAGCCTCCTTAGGGTCTACATGTTGATAAGCTAGAATCCATCTAGAACAAAAGTACAAACATGAGATATCCTGAAATTTAGCTTCACTTGAGTTAAAAAATTATTTGGTAATAAGTTACAGTTTATTATTTATTTTAAACATTTTGGTTAAAATTAAAATAATTTAAGGAATTAGTAGGCCTACATAGAATATAAATAAAATATGTATATAAAGTTAACTTATTTGATATGGTAAATATAAAGTTGAGATAGAACTATATCCTAAATACAGTAATTGATCTGTAAGGGCTATAAGAAATAATAGGTCTAATGTTAAATTTCCAAAAAATAAAAAAAAAAGGTAAAAAATTTTAATTTGTACAAAAATGTAGCATTCACTAAAAAAAATATAACCAGTGCTCAATCCAGAGTTTGTGTACTTACCTTGGATTATAGGCTCCAATAGGAATGGTGGCCAATGAAAAGGGTCCATACTTCTTTCCTATCGTCTTATAAATGTTACAATATCCTGTGTCGCCAGCAAAGAAAAATTTGTTCTTTGATCCAATAACACACCAGCTGCACCACAAAGCCTAAAACAATAGTTAGTTGAAAATTATCAGACACAAAGCAATATTTAGTTAAAATATTATCAGACCAAAACAAAATTTAGTTCAAAAAATGATCAGCAAAAAAAACAATATTTATTTAAAAAATTATAAGCCTTAAACAATATGAAGTTTAAAAATTCCCAGCCTTAAATAATGTATAGTTCAAAAAATTATAAGCCTTAAACAATATTTAATTAAACAATTATCAGCCTTAAACAATATATAGTTTAAAAATTATAATTCTAAAAAAAATTTTGTTCAAAAAATTATCAGACCAAAATAATATTTAGTTTTAAGTTTATTAGCCTAAAACAAAATTTAGTTTATAAATATCAGCTAACAGAAAAATAACTGTAAAATTATCAGCCCAAAAAAAAATTTTATTTAAAAAATTTACCAGCCTTAAACAATATTTAGTCTAAAAATATCCTTCTAAAACAATATTTAGTTAAAAAAATTATCAGCCTTAAACAATATTTAATCTAAAAATTATCCTCCTTAAACAATATTTCATCTAAAAATAAGTCTATAACAGTATTTACTCTAAAAACATTATTTATTTTAAATATAATGAGTCTAAAACAATATTTAGCTGAAAAATATCAGCTTGACTTAAGGTTAAATCCAGTGTTTAAAAATGGGGACAATTTATGGAGCTCAATTATAATAAAAATAAGCAAAAAAAAAAACAATCAGCATTTTAAAACCGGGGACCTAACTTTTGCCAAAATGTTAAGAAAAAAAACCCAACAAAAACAACTTAATAAAAAATGTTAAATTTTTGGAGCATAACCCACTGGACATTGCCCCCCCCCCCCCCCCGCCATATATTCACTTGAACGGTGACACTGAATTGAGGCATGCATAAGGAAAAACAAACGGTAATGAGAAAAAAACTTATGAATATAATAAGTTAGGTCTAAGTTAAAATTTTATTCTCTTTAACACTCAATTTTCCTTATATCAATATGTATCACAGGAGTATTTTGTCTAGGGGGTAACCATCAGGATTTAATTTGGGGGTGTGGGGGGTATATTTTCAGAGCGTTATTGCCTGGACCCACTCGGAGACAATGTTAGAAACATTTAAAACAAACAATTAAAACTTAGAGTAGCATACCTTGTTGTCATCCCACACGGTACGCTTGCACCAGTGCTGCGAGGGGGTACTGACGAACTTGACGCCAGACTCGTGGGTGTGCTCCTCCCACCAGGAGAGTTCTACGACGTTAGTGCAGCCGCAGCTGTTCATCCAGCTCTTCAGTCCCACAGGCACGTACCATCTCAGGCTGTCCCCAAACCTGAAAGGTATGCAGCAGCTTCATACGTCTATGTCTTATTACGTTGAATTTAGCTGTGTAAAGTTAGCACAAATTGAGTACACTTACATTAGTTTGTGGGAATGTACCCCAGCTTGTGCAATAAAATTACCTGAGATTATGCAGTTACCTCAGGCTAATGTAAAGTAACTGAGTTACTCAAGGTTTGAATAAAGTTATCAGTTTGAGTAAAGTTACCCCAGGCCTGTGCAAAATTACCTCAGTTTGAGTAGTTACTCCAGACTTTTCTAAAATTACCTCAGTTTGAGTAAAGTTATCCAAGGGTTGTGTAAAATTACCTCAGTTTGAGTAAAGTTACCCAAGGCTTGTGTAAAGTTACCTCAGTTTGAGTAAAGTTACCCCCGGCTTGTGTAAAATTACCACTGCTCTACTCAAGTTACCCCAGCCTGTACAAATTTAACACAGCTTGTGCAATTCACCCCTTTTGAATGAAGCAACATACCTTTTGTTCAATGAATACACAGTTTCTAAAAATTAAGCGACATACCTTTTGTTCAATGAATACACAGTTTCTAAAAATAAAGCGACATACCTTTTGTTCAATGAATACACAGTTTCTAAAATTGAAGCAACATACCTTTTGTTCAAAGAATACACAGTTTCTAAGAATGAAGCAACATACCTTTTGTTCAATGAATACAGTTTCTAAGAATGAAGCAACATACCTTTTGTTCAATGAATACACAGTTTCTAAGAATGAAGCAACATACCTTTTGTTCAATGAATACACAGTTTCTAAAAATGAAGCAACATACCTTTTGTTCAAAGAATACACATTTTCTAAGAATGAAGCAACATACCTTTTGTTCAATGAATACAGTTTCTAAGAATGAAGCAACATACCTTTTGTTCAATGAATACACAGTTTCTAAAAATGAAGCAACATACCTTTTGTTCAAAGAATACACATTTTCTAAGAATGAAGCAACATACCTTTTGTTCAATGAATACAGTTTCTAAAAATGAAGCAACATACCTTTTGTTCAAAGAATACACAGTTTCTAAGAATGAAGCAACATACCTTTTGTTCAATGAATACAGTTTCTAAGAATGAAGCAACATACCTTTTGTTCAATGAATACAGTTTCTAAGAATGAAGCAACATACCTTTTGTTCAATGAATACACAGTTTCTAAAAATGAAGCAACATACCTTTTGTTCAAAGAATACACATTTTCTAAGAATGAAGCAACATACCTTTTGTTCAATGAATACAGTTTCTAAAAATGAAGCAACATACCTTTTGTTCAAAGAATACACAGTTTCTAAGAATGAAGCAACATACCTTTTGTTCAATGAATACAGTTTCTAAGAATGAAGCTACATACCTTTTGTTCAATGAATACAAATTTTCTAAAAATGAAGCAACATACCTTTTGTTCAATGAATACACATTTTCTAAGAATGAAGCAACATACCTTTTGTTCAATGAATACACATTTTCTAAGAATGAAGCAACATACCTTTTGTTCAATGAATACACAGTTTCTAAGAATGAAGCAACATACCTTTTGTTCAATGAATACACAGTTTCTAAGAATGAAACAACATACCTTTTGTTCAATGAATACACATTTTCTAAGAATGAAGCAACATACCTTTAGTTCAATGAATACACAGTTTCTAAGAATGAAACAACATACCTTTTGTTCAATGAATACACATTTTCTAAGAATGAAGCAACATACCTTTAGTTCAATGAATACACATTTTCTAAAAATGAAGCAACATACCTTTTGTTCAATGAATACACATTTTCTAAGAATAAAGCAACATACCTTTTGTTCAACGAATACACAGTTTCTAAATCCAGGTGATCGTAGTGGTTATGACTGATGACAACACAATCTACTTTAGGCAGCTCCTCCACAGAGCAGGGTGTGGGTCGGTATCTCTTGGGACCCACCCACTGGCTGGGTGAACACCTCAGGCTGAAGACTGGGTCAGTCAAAAAGGTCACACCTTCAAACTGGACCAGAGATGTGGCATGTCCAATCCACATGTGGCGGATGCCTGAATCTGGAGGTTGTTTGAACTGTGATAAATCTGGTTTTATAACTGGTAATTTGCTGTTGAGTTCCTGAAAGAAAAATGGGCGGATTTAAAATATGGATGCTATTCCAGAACAAATTTTAGAAGAAAAAAAATATTGTTTAATTGATAATGATAGTGAGAGGTTTAACAGTTCAAATTGCAGTTATTGTTTTCACTGTGATTTTAATTCTAGTCTCTACAGATTGTATATAAATTGAATCTACATGATAGTAGCACCACATTAGCTAAATAAAGATCTGATTTAAAAAAGGTAAAAAGTATCTTTTTTTTGTCAAAATGGTCATAATTGCTTTTATTTCCATCATTTAGATATTTTTAAATGCTCTTTAAACAAAACAAATTTAAAAAAAAAATTCTTTATCTCTAATATTTGTGTAAAATGATGTAAATAAATTTTTAAAAATTTTAAACTGAAAAAAAAAAAGAATAGAAGTTCTTCACAAAACTTGATGTATACTTAAACTGTCATTGATTAAAAATTAATATAAAGCAAATAGTAGGACCATATAGGCCTACTACAATTTTAAAACTGAGCTTGGGGAACTTGCATTGATAAATGCATGAGCTTATTCCACAAAGAACATATTCTGGATAGAGCTTCTATTTACATAGATCAGTTACCTGTTCATTAGGGATGTTTGCCTCACTCTTTGTGAGAAACATGAACTTAAACAGCTGAGTGAAGGCAGGAGCTTTCCATGGTGACCAGGGGTTCTCATACCTCCCATTTCTGTACAGTGGTCTAACAAGATCCTCAGCTTCAGTGGTGTCCATTGTTTACATCAAACACCTATCAAGTTGTTACCGTGTGGGTTTGGTGACTTTTTAAGTCAGATAGAATATACTGGCTGGTAACTGAAGGAATATAAATCAGAGAAAGTTAAAAATTTGCTATTTCTAAGCAATACAAATACTGTAAGGGAAGAAAAATACAATAAAAAAGAATATAAAAAGACATTGTGCCAAACTAATTGTTTAATTTTTTAAAGGAAAAAAAAAACATGTAGCAAAATAAATATAAAACAGCTCGAAATATTGGCCAATATCGCCTCACAGCAACCAGTTTAAGTCCAAAATTTACTTGATTTCAGACTTTGACTGGCCAAATTAGAAGATGGTGAACAGATTTTGGGTATTTTATACCGTAAAGATCACGAAATTAAGTCTTTATTAATTAAAGTAAATGAAAAAAACATTCAAATTATTTTATTGTACTATAGTCTAAATCAATATTTTCAGTTGTTACAACAAGTTGAACTTTTTTTGGCATTTAGAATTACATAGTAGCTTGTTATTTTTTCACTTGCAGCGATCTGTTGTGCACTTGGTTACAGCGCGTGTAGTCTTGGTCACCCGTCAGTGATTGAGAATATGCGATGGTTCGTAGTAATTTTCCCCAGTGCCAACAGATGACAATGAGAGCAGTTTTTTTGTGAAGAACTGAAAACTCACTTCTAGCGTAAAATTGTTTTGGAACACCATGTTCCATTCCTAACTTGTAGAAAATGCCCTCGATGCTCATGACAACTGCAAGGACGCTTCGGGGATCATGCAGTGCAGTCAAGGTGCGGTGATTGGTCTACTTCATTTGGTATTCTTTAATTTGGCGAAGTATGGTTTCTGACGGCCACATGAACTCAAGTCGCTTGGTCACGATTGTTCAACTTACAGAAGTGGCATCGATCATGGCATTGGCTGACCAATGTAAGGAAAACTTACAAGGAAAACGTCAATTTTAAACTCTTCGGAATTAGGCCATTATGTCTTATGTCCCGGCCAGTGCACACATTGAATGGCCAATGTATGAAATACGCTCTCAGTGCTAAGCTCTTCAGGCTTTGACCGTAACATATATATATATATATATATATATATATATATATATATATATATATATATATATATATATATATATATATATATATATATATATATATATATATATATATATACTATATAGCTATACTTTGTTAATAATATACTTGGATGTAGCATTGTTTTCTATATAGTTAGCACAGTTACGACATGGTGTCACCCCACCCCTTGTTATAACTGTTGATTTGTACTTAAAAGACTATTTAACTTATTAATTGAACTGGCAAAAAAGCATTTTTCTTCTGCAAATTTTGCAATATTATGCCTTGGTGTCATCCCCATAAATGGTGTCACCCGGTGCGGCCCGCACCCCTGCCCCGCCCTCACTACGCCTCTGGGCCTAATAAATAACTGTACGATACGTTGAATACATTTTACTATGGCGGACCATGGGGTATTGCCTATCTTTGTAAATATTGTAATGTAATGCAAAGATAGGCAAAACCAATCAAGTCTGTAAAATTTATAATTTTAAGCCCACACGTCTTGAATTAAAGTTAATGAATTATAGTACTAGAACTAGAAAAAAAAATTACTAGATCTAGCGTAGTTCGAATTATAAATATGTAGAGTTGTAGAGGTTCTAATGACTAATCATTAAGAATATTAGAAATTAGAATCTTACTGGACTGGCTAATTAAAGGCCAAATTATTTAGATCTATATTTAATTAAGTAGGCCTAATGTAAACTGAAAGTAAGATTAGTAAAGATATATAGAACCTCTTTTCTTCTTTATTCTTAATTCTAGTGTTGGAAGAGATTCACTCCAACACTATTTAATTAGAGCCTTATTATTTGAATCTAGATCTACGTGTCAACTGGTAATGCGCCATAATCATATGTCTCATATGATATGCTTCATATCATGTGGGCCTAATAATATTAATAAATTGGGTAATCTATCGTTTTAGGTATGTAAAATCGCCCGCGACTAGTAATGTGAAAAACAGGTGACTCCTTAAATTTTAATAATTATTTCACATTTTGAGTAGGATTTATGTTGTGAAAAATACAAAAATGTTTCCTTGTTTAATTTATGTACCTGTTTTTAAACAATTGAATTAATTGAATTTTTTTTTATTGTAAACTTATTGTGCAAGATTCAGGGGAAGCCACTCTTACTTACAGATGGCCGCTCTTCATATAGCAAATCCCGCTCGCAAACACTGCTGTTTAAAGATAATTTCTTGCCTATATTCAAATATTGATAATCTATCGCAAACACTGCTGTTTAAAGATAATTTCTTGCCTATATTCAAATATTGATAATCTATCGTTTACACGTAATCTATTCGGCTGCAGTAGTAATGTGCGTGAGAGGTAACTGATGAATATATTTGTTTAAATAAGTATATTTAAGTCAAATTTTATAAAACATAACAGATAATTGATTTAAAATAACAATCAGTGACCAAAACAATTTAAAATATCGTGAAACTAACTTTAAACAAGGTGTTTGAGATAAATATTAGTAGATAAAAACATCTGCCATCTTTCCAAATAAAATTTAGAGTAGTTTCCCCTTGATAAAAAAGTCTATTCGTATGTATATTGTGTTGATTTTGCTGTTTAATATACATAGCTGTCTTTTTATCTTTAATTTCAATTGAAATGAAGGTTATGTATTTATGTATGTACTTCCAAGATCTCAAAAACTTTTGGGAGGTCCAACATTTATTAAACCCTTTTGTTTTGATTAACTTATCAATTATTAGGTCGTCCATATTCCTGTTAAATGACGTTGGACTCAAAATATGGGACGGGGTAAAATATTTTTTTTAAAATGATGAAGAATTATATATTCGTTTTCATTAGAATATATTCGTTTTCATTAGAAATTGTGATTAAGAGTTGGGGTATAGTAGAACTGCGATATGATATTAAATCATGATTTTGCTTTTAGTGACGATTGGGGGAAAGGGAATTCATCGGGAAAAGTATGACGTAGGAAAATTAGATTCTTCTGTTAAAAAAAAGAAATGTGTCATTTTTCTCAACCCTGCCGTTTCATCCCACACTAAGAACAACCTCACGAAGTACGAGGCGCGCGTGACGTCATTTGTCATTAGGCTAATGTTAAAGAAAGAGATAGCGCATAATTAAAAAAAATCAAAACAGTGACGTTTAGCCTGACGAATAGATCTAAATGACTTTAGTTCGGTAAATTATATTGGTGTTTAATTTAGTAAGTTGCATGCTGTTCTCCCTCTTCCATACTAATTCACGTGCTTTTAATTTCTGCAACATGCTGCCCTGAGACGTTCGGCTCTAAAATGCCTGTGACACAGCGGCTTTGGTAAATGCATTTAGGCTCCCGGTCCCACCTAAAAACTTCGTCTGTCCATTAAGCTCCACGTAAAACTTGTGATTAATATGTGGACATAAGCAAGCGGCGCTTGTGGTGGTGTCAACAGTGACCCCCCCCAAGCTCAGCTCTTAAAGTTACTCCGCACTTCATAAAAGACAAAATTGATGTTCAGATATCGTCAGACTTGGGCGTTTTGCCGACGGCCGTATTCCTAATGCACCATCTTAGAGGCTGTCCACTGCTAACACTATTTCTATATTAAACCCTATTAAATTTAATAGCAGGAAAATCGTTGTTAAACCTTAATTTCATGACATTTTAATTGATTTAACCCTTAAATGTGGTTTGATATTCAATTATCTTAAGCATTTTAGTAAAAATATGCAAAAATACACTCATATTTAAGCCATATTTGTTAGTTACCTTATCCCTACATTACTAGCGACGGCCAAATTGATTACACTAAAACAATAGATTACAGATATATTTAGTAGTATTTAGCCATTGATTTAGGTTTATTATATTATTCATTTATCTATATTTTTATCTATAATATTTGTCTCAAATATATCACAATATACTTCTATTAAAGCCTTGACAATGAGGTAACTTTTTTGTACAGTACTAGACTTTCTAGATCTAGCCGCGGACTATTTTACGTAGGCCTACCTAAAACGATAGATTACCAGATTACCATAAATTGTAGTATCACCGCTAGCTGCTAGCTAGAGCGACTTTACTTTAAAGTGTCGAGAGTATTATATTATAATATATATTATTATTAATATATAAGTATACTCCTAGACTAGACTAGTGTCCAGACTAGTAGATCTAGATTAGATCTAGATTCTAGATCTAGAAAGAATCCGAGACTAGCAAACACTTTAATAAATTAAAATTTCAAATGAAAATTCAAAACTGGACTAACAATTACAATACGATACCTGCAAACACAAATAATTATAATTAAATAAGTGGAGATTGTCAAGTCAGTGGAGATGTGCTGGCTGGACGATATTTCAAGACGACCTTCTTTATGTTTAGATTCTAGATTTAGATCTAGATCTTGTCTAGAATTCAAAATCTAAAGTTGATCTGTATGCGTGAAGTATAATAATTTAGTATAAGTATGAATCAAGATCTAGATTCTAGATCTAGATCTAGATCTAAATCTAAAAGCCAGATATTAAGAATTATTGCACGACATGATTGTTACCGGAAAAACAGCAACCAGTTTCCTAGAAATAATAGATCTAGAGTACTTTCCCTTGACGTGTTTTGGAAATATTATGTTGCTTTTTTTAGCCTACACACTCTTTCCCTTTCTTATGTGTTAAAATTGACAGCGAAATCTAGTACTATTTTAAGACTCCAAAACTTATTAAGAGTGCATCGGAAAGTCGACTTGCGCAATATTTTTACCCCGAAAAACGTCTACTGCCCCCCCCCCCCCCCGAACGAAATAGAATTTATATCGAAAATATATACTTTTACCATTGTCCGCCCCAATTATACCCCCGCCACCTCCCCTCCCATGGAGAAAACACTACCGGTAAATAATAATTAAGTTTCGTCCACCTAACTGAAACGATACTCAAGGTTTTGGAATTTCACGATTGCACTACACAAGTGCCACCACCTTTAATTTTAATATATAACTACGAGAAAATTTTCATATCTAAATTAAATTTAAAATAAAGTAACAAGAAAAACAAAATAAACTATGCTGATGTATGTTGTAAGAGCTAAAATTAAAAAAAAATAATAGGTACTTTATAAAATGAGTACTTCTGTTTGTCGTTTAAAAATGTTACATCATTGATAGCTTTATTTCAAGAATCAAAGTCGAGTTCGAGATGATTATTCAAAGCTTCACATTGCATGAATAAAAACGTGGATTCACAAAAGGGTCAATTCTAAAAGATTGTTTCGATTACTTAAATGCATTGTGTAGCTTAATTGTAATTTACTTGACACTACAACTGTGTTGTAGGCCAATTACTTAGATTTTTTTCAGATTACTATCCCCACAACATAATATTATATTATGTCATTAAGCATTTGTGAAGCGTTTGGTTACGAATCCTGTATGAAGCGCTTGGTTATGAAGCCTGTACGAAGCGTTTAGTCACGAAGCCTGTACGAAGCGTTTAGTCACGAAGCCTGTACGAAGCGTTTAGTCACATAGCCTGTAAGGAGCATTTAGTCACAAAGCCTGTATGGAGCGTTTAGTCACGAAGCCTGTATGGAGCGTTTAGTCACGAAGCCTGTAAGGAGCTTTTAGTCACAAAGCATGTAAGGAGCGTTTAGTCACAAAACCTGTAAGGAGCTTTTAGTCACAAAGTCTGTATAAAGCGTTTAGTCACGAAGCCTGTAAGGAATGTTTAGACACGAAGACTGTATTGAGCGTTTAGTCACGAAGCCTGGATGAAGCATTTAGTCACAGAGCCTGTAAGGAGCGTTTAGTCACAAAGCCTGTAAGGAGATTTTAGTCACAAAGTCTGTATAAAGCGTTTAGTCACGAAGCCGGAATGTTTAGACACGAAGACTGTATTGAGCGTTTAGTCACGAAGCCTGGATGAAGCATTTAGTCACAAAGCCGACACGAATCGTTTAGACATGAAGACGATACGAATCGTTTAGACATGAAGACGATACGAATCGTTTAGCAACGAATTCTTCCGAAGAGACTGGTACGTCGGACTCCCGAGTAGAACTGCTGTATGCGCTAGGTTCAAAGAATGGCCGAACGCCCCCCACGATCAAGCTGGGTACCAGGCGGTAGGACGACGTCCGGCGTCTGGTGGGTGGGGAAGGAAAGCCTGGTGAGAGCCGACGGAAGTAGCGACCGATGTGTGGGAAACTCTTGTGGTCGGAGTTTGCTACACTGAGGCCTGCCTAGCTAATGGAAGTCAACCTTCTGAGCCGGTTTCCGTATAAGGAAGGAAGAAGAAGTAACGAATTCGATACGGATCGTTTAGTCTAGAAGCATAAATGAAGCGTTTAATCACAAAGGCTGTAAGTAGCAAATCGTTTATGTACAAACAGTTTAGTCACGAAGCCTGTACGAAGCGTTTATTGACAAATAAATCTATTTGAAATTGTATTTTCAGAAGCCTATGGTTGAAAACAATATCTTGCTCCAGTTTCTGTAAATTTGTCCGTTTTGAATTCAAGTTTTTTAGTTCTGGTTAAAGGACTGATTTCGGTTCCGCTTTAAATCTCATTCCCTATAGGGAACTTTCCGTACTGCTTAACGTTCAACGTGTTAAAATTTCCGGTTTCTATTGAAGTTTCCCGTTACAGTTAAAGTGGCATTTAAAGATAGCTTTCCCATTCCACTACCGATTCCGGATAACGTACCAGTTCATATTGCTTCCTTTTTTAATCGTCATTCTAGTTTCAGTATAGGCTCCGGTTAAAGATTTGATTTTTGGTAAATGTCCCTTATCTTTCCGGTTTTATTTCCAGTTACAAATTTTGTTCAGGTTAAAATGATTTTTTTTCTTCTTCAGAATGCCAATGAAAAGTACAAAATACAATTATTTATTTATTTCTCTGTCAGCCAGATGAACTCTATAGTAATTATTATACCTGGTTTCTCACTTTACAGATAAAATGTTTAAATAAAATCTTTCAAGAGGTGGGGTGGATGGGTGCAGAGGCGTAGCGAGGGGGGGGGGGGGTGCGGGGGTGCGGATCGCACCGGGTGACACCATTTAGGGGGTTGACACCAAGCAAAAAATAACAAAATATATTGAAAAAATCTTGAGGGGGGGGTGCAAATCGAAAGTTTGAGGGGGGGGGGGGGGTTGCAAATCGAAAACTTGAGGGGGGGGGGGGGTGCAAAATTCGAAAGTTTGAGAGGGGGGGTGTAAATCGAAAATTTGTCCCCGGGAAGGGTCTCTACGCCTCCTGGGGGGGGGGGGGGGGTGACACCATTAAGTGCCGCAACGGGTGACACCCGACCTCGCTACGCCACTGTTGTGTATTGGTTGAATTAAAAAACAGAATTATAGAAAAATAGAAAACAATAAAGTTAAACAAACGATTACAATTTATTTATATGATTTTGAAAAAGCAAAGAATATACAAGTAAAAATAAATCATTTACATTTTTTTTTACAAAGCGCAGTAGTACACATTATAAAGATACTACCGAAAGAAATCGTAAAACACCTGAAACGACATACATATAATTTTTTTTTCTTTCTCTTTTGTCAAAAGTTTTTGATCTTCAAGTGTAAAATACAAATGTGATTTTTTAATACTAGTAATATAAAATTTGTTAATAACAAAAGTAAACATAATAACAAAATTGTCTTTAGTAGTAACAAAGTAAATAGTGTTAATTGGGGCTATAATATTAAACAAAATTAAAATTATATTTTTATTAATGATATTAGTGAGATTAAAGATGAAAATTATTATTGTAATCATGGGACGTCGTGGACTAAGCGGTAGAGCGCTAGGCTACTAACTCGAAAGTCTGGAGTTCAAGTCTGCGTTCAAGTCAGTAGAACGTTCATGAGTCTACCCGCTCGTGTGGGTACGTAACTCATGTTTGCAAAGTGCTGACCACACATTCCCTTCATATACCGAGGTCTAGAAACATAAGGACTCTGCTTCATCTGACCAATGGATTGCTAGGTTTAAAGATGATTCTTTCCCCTTTCAAACCTGCGATACATTATTTTGTTATTAAGTAAAACGCGTTTTGATGTTTCGATATATGAGGTAATAGTATATTTTTATATAATAATTAATTATAATAATTATTTATCCTTCAAAACAAAACCTATTAATTTATTTCGACGTTTTATCAGACGTGATAACCAAACTTTTTACAAAAAACTATATTTTTAAGTACAATAAATACATGAAATTACAACATGCTATTATAATTGTAATGCTTTACAAATTATAGTAGTATGTTTAAACGCTTGATTCTAATGTGCGTTTTAAGACATCAGTGAATATGAAAAATATGTTGCACTGGTGTTAACGTGAAAGTAAAATATGATTGGTAGGTTTATCGTAGTCGTAATTTGAGAACTTCTTTGTTTTAAAATAATAATTATGTTTTTGAATTCATTCTTTACTTTGAAACATAACTGTTTTCATTATAGCTAGTAGTAAAATAAATTTAAATATTATGCAATGTGTTAACAGTGTGGTTGTGTGTACTTACATAACAAAATTATAATCATATCAAGCTTCGTTTTTGAAGCTTTATCATAATTAAGCTAATAAAACGAACACTATATGTAGTTCTTATAAAATAACTGTTACCATTTAATATTCTTGACATGTTTCTTTCTTGCTTTCAATAGGTCTTTTAAAAACCAATCTTGAATTTCTTCAAAAATCGATTCAACCTTTTTTCTAACTTTACCTTGATGTTTGTATTCTGTCTTTGTAATAATGTTTTTAATGTCTTCACACTCACTCGACAAATTACTATTCAGTTTGTCGTACAAACTTAGTAGATTTTGTTTTTCTTTTCTCATTGCTAAGGTATTAGATTCTTTTTCATCATTAAGTATTTGCATTATCGAACACAACTGTATCATAAACCCCTCCAACAGGATGTCGTTGGTAGTGAGGAAAGTATTTACACTTTTTGCAAATAGCCCTTTAACATCACGATGTATACATTGTGTATTAACCATATTTAACACATTTCTTATGTCTATACCGTTAATGTTCATAGTTAAAAGACGCGAGCTATGCTTATTTCTAAATATTTCGTATTCGGTTTTATAAGGATCAGTTTCAAGTAAATCATCTTTGTATGTTACAATAAATATTACGCTTTCCATGCAAAAATTGTCATTTAGTAGTTTCTCTATCTTCTGAACAGATTGTATAATATCTTGAATTGCCAAAACCACGATAATTGCATTATACCCTTCTGGAATAATTGCAACAGCAGATTTTAGATTTTCTTTATCTTCATCAATGGTTACATCGTCAGTTATTGGTACATCTACAAGTTTTGTCACTTTACCATTGATTGAAGAATAAGCTAAACTCGTAGTGTTTGATTTATCTGGCAGTTTACTTATTTTTTCTTCATTTCGTAGGATCTCGTTTCTCAGGAGGTGTTTGTTACTTTTTGGTGTTCCCAACAAAAGGATAACAGTCTTAGCATTGGTAGAACCCTCATAATTGGAGTCTCTAAAACAAGAAAATAAGTTACGATGAAAAGTTAGCAGAGTAAAACATGCGTTAACAATCAGATGTATCATATCAATATACATAGTTCTTTTTACAAACTGAACAGATATGCGCAGATTTACCAGATACAACATTTTTATTTGTTTCGACTGATTTTGCCTCTACACGTCAGTGATCTTCTGACAGTTTGCCCAGTTAACTAAATTTATGTAATAAATAAATTCAATCTTAACTAGTCTGTTGTAATTTTGTGTTTTTGATTGTCGAGTCTCTTTGTTTTTCGTAGCATGGAATAATAACTAGCTTTGTATACTAATGTTGCTGATTGCAAACGATAAATGTGAAACTAAAACGTCAACCATGAAGTAAAAGAGTAGGCATAGGAAAAAATCTTGAAAACGCAAAGATATGGAAAATATGGCGTGTTTGTTCTCGGTGGCGATTCCTCTGTAAATCTCTCTTGCAGAGATTAAATGAATCTCAATTGTTTTTGTTATTACTTTATGCTTCAGCTGTCAATAGTATACCTTTGTAAAACAAAGGTGTTCATGCTTATGCCCAGGAGGCATATTACTATGTAGTACATGACCGTGTATCATAAACAGAGCTTTAACCGTGGAAATCAAAATATATTTGTACTAATCAATACTAAAAATCCACGGATTAAAAAAATATGTATCAGAAAAGTATCATACGCTTTGTATTTATTAGGAATTCATCATCTCCATCGTTTCGTTGACCCATGTGTACCGCGTGGATGCAAACGTACCTCTTTTTCGTGCTCTATTGATGTCGATTAATCCTAGTTTGGTTCATGCTTCGCGGAGAACAATTTTTTTTTCAAAATTTTTTTTGGCATCCATCGTCAATCAGGGGCTGTTTTTTGTTGGTGTGAGCAAGGTGTGTTAATCTATCCATGTTTGCGCTGTTGTATTTTAAGACAATCCGTGTTGTTCCATTTGTTCAGTTTTGGTTTTTTTCACAGGTCACGTAAAGTTTAATATTTTACAACCTTTTATTTAACTTGCTTCCTTTGTCCACAGTCTGTCTGTCGTCAGTCTGTTGTATGAGATCGAAACGGGCAAGGAAATATTTTGGTACTTTTAACGAACAGATTGGCTTAAAAGTTGGCACGTGGATCAAGAATTGAAGACAATTCAATTTGACATTAAGTTTGACTAAATTCGATGGCTAATTAATTTTTCTTGAATTAATTACAATTTTCTGAAAACAGTATGCAGTCTTGTATTAAATTTTTCCGCTATATTATACGCGCATAATCATGTTCATTTGGCACTCAATAGACATTAGTCATGCAACTCTTTTGTATATAAAATTTTAAAGTACTGAAAAAAAATGCATAATAAAAAATGCATTAATAACAAACTTTTATGTAGTAAAGGAGAAAAGAAATATTTAAAAAATATATATAGGCCTACAATATTATTTAAATTACTATAAATAAAAGCGTAAATAATGTAAAAACAAGGATACTATAACTTACACTTGCGTTTCATTTGGTAGTAAACTTGCCATTTCTAGAGATATAATGTGTATTATAAATGATTGAAAAATAAAGAAAAACAAAAAAAAATAGTTTAAAATTAAAAGTTAACACATTTATCTGCAACATCATCACGTTTATGCGGTATATAATAAAATGTGCTTTTTTGGTAGATGACATTTCTAAATGTTTATGATAGGGCTTTTAAATAGGCTAAAAAGTGTATGTAATCATACTAAATTTTTAAAAAGTCTTTTTATATTGCAAGCGATAAAATTATAATTACATTTTTTAAAAAATGATGCCTTTTAAGAACCGTCGATTTCACTGAGTTTTATAATTTTGTGTTGAATATAAGCCGTTAAGAAGCCATTTAGAATTATTGTATCAATTCAATTATTTAAATAAAACAAAATATATGAACACATTTATAGCAACAAGCTTTTAAAATGCACTGCTAATTATAATAAAGAATTTCTTGTTCAGATGTACAAGATCAAAATAAAATGTAACACAATATTCAGTACTCTATTAAAGACAAATGCATAATTTATCATTTCTATATGTTAGTGAAACCTTCAAAGTCATTTTACGTTGTATTGCAAAACATAATCTAAAAAAAAGCTTACCTTCATTATCGTCATTTTCTTTAGTTTCGTAATTATTTGGCCTGTTAATACATATCGAGAAACAAAAAAAACATATCATATAACGTATCGTATTGCTAACGTATATAATATATACATCTCTCTCTCTCTTTCTCTATCTCTCTCTCTCCCTCTCTCTCTCACACTCTCTCTCTCTCTCTCTTTATATATATATATATATACATATATATATATATATAAATTTTCCAAGTATATTATCTCACCTTTTATTTAATTTTCCTTGAGTTTGTAAAGGGTCATTGAAAGCGACTTTTTTTGCAACATCTAAGAGAGGATAAGTAAAATCTCCAGCACATCAATTGCAAATATAGGTAGTTACTTGTTAATGTTTAAGTGGTTCAAAATAAACATTTTAAAATTTCAAATTGCGTTTAACTTAAGCGTATTTACAATATTGAACACACATTAAATTTGAGTAGCATTTTAGAAAAAATTAAATATTTTATAACATATTTAACGTTAAGATTAATAATTTCTCTAAACGTAATTGATCGGTTGCATTGTTATTTTCATCTTCAGGTAAATAGCGTAAATAACCTGTTTTCAAAAACTCTTATTTGTATGAAGAATTAAATAGTGTTATAAGAAGTTTCAATAAACCCACCTGTAAGCGATAACTATATATATATATATATATATATATATATATATATATATATATATATATATATATATATGTAAACATGTATAAATATGTTAAATGTTATTTTCATTAACAACAATTAATTAACAATTAATTTAATCAACTCACCGACAAATCCAGCACTCTCAATGTTTAATTCGTTACTTGTCCTAAAATTGTTTTGAGTGAAAGTTATTTTAATAAATATTGTACAATTGTAAATTTGTTTTTTCTAAGTAAGAAAGTTTCGATTGTAATCAAAATCATTGTGCAAATAATAACATTCTAAAATTTATTCCAATATTACAATTAATGAGCCAGAAAGATTGATCAATGTGCATTATTTATACATTAGAATGTTTCAGACATAAATTGCAGCAAACGTTGGCGTAAAATCGAGAGTTCGGTCCTATCTGCCACTTTTACTGGCAATAAAATATAACTTAGAAAAAGAACGTTTTAATGTTACTTTACTTTAGAAAATTAATATATGCAATTACATAACCCTAGTAATGAGGCTTAGAATAAAACACAAAAATGGCCTTATGGAAAATACTAAAATTATCCTTACATTTCCTCTTTATTTTGTGGTAGATGAGCTTGCTCTTGAGCTAAAATATACATACAAGCATTTGGCAATTAAATACATACATTGTACAAGGAAAACAAAAGTATGCTACTTTTCGTTCTTAAAAATGTTATATTGATGCCGATTTGCTCCTACAAAGTTAATGATTACGTATCAATTTATGTAGAATCCAACTGTTCTGCACGATAGGCTATACTGACAATAAAACGAAGAAAATATATCACTTTACAGGATATCAAAACCACTGCCTTCGATACTAGATTGTTTTACTACAGTGCCAAATAATATAACATTACTCTGTAACTTATATACACCGACATTACTGATTTGGAGAATAAACGTGTCGGGATATTTTTAAAAAATTATAACTTGCCTGGGTTATTTAAATTTGGAATAGTTTTATCAGCATCAAACCTGAAAAAGTTGAAACAAATATTATTTGTAATTACCCGAACTATTAAAAGTTTTTATAAGGTAAAATTGAAACTGTTAGCACTGAACTTTATATATATATATATATATATATATATATATATATATATATATATATATATATATATATATATATATATATATATATATATATGGTGACAGGACAAATGATCTCATGACACATGATCTCAGAACAAATGATCTCAAGGATAAATGATCTCATTTACAAAGGATACCAGGACAAAACAAATCCGGACAAATGATACTATGAACAAATGATATCAGACAAAATATCTCACAACAAAATATGTATAGTATTTGCGATTATTTCTGTCGATTTTAACATAAAAAAAATGACTGTCTTATGGATTTTATAAATTATGATTTCTTTTTCAAATTCAAAATATAGTTAGGCCTATATATTTCGTTGGTCCACAACATGAATTGTGGTTCAACATCACTGTATTCAAAGAGAAAATTCATTAAAGTACAATTTGTATACAAGAACCGTTTATTTTTAATTCAGCGAACGTTGTGTTATTGTATTTCCATCTCCATTCGCTTATCTTGGCATTGCAAATGATGCAGTAAGGACACCGACTCCCAATCATTTTCCGTTATACATTTCAATCCACATTGCACATAATCTTCGGATCACTTTCTTCTTTAGCTCAACATAGCTAGTATCAAAGAAATGTAAACATTTCCGGAAGAAATAACCAAACGACGTACCACCATGACAATCACAAGTTGGCTACTTGGATAGAAAATAGAAATAAAACTATATTACAATTGTGTGTAGTAAAATCAATCTTCCCAGGTTACCTACCTTGACGCCATATAGTTTCGAAATTTATCAGGAAATTTAGATCTGACTCTTTTACCTGAATTTAAAATAAAAGGGCAAATTGATTTCATAATTAAATTAAAATTGTCACTCTTAAAACAATTAATTTGCACGAGATAATTTTTAAAAATTTCTTTTGAAATATTTGAATTAATTCCAAAATTTTAAAATTGGGTATATCAATATTGTAGATACTTACTACATAGTATCAAAACAATGAACACAACGAACAGGGCTATCAGAAAGACACATATACTGAGGCCAACAATTAGACCGTTTGCTACTATATCGTTTCTATCTGAAAATATGAAAACCAATATATTTTTTGTGACTGCATTTGTTTAGCGAACAGTATAAAATGGAGAAAGCGAAAAAAAAATATTCGTTGTAAAACAATTAACAATGTACTGCCCAGTATGAGAATAGTTCATTAATTCAATATTTTCATTATGCGTACATTTTACCAATACTATAGCCTATTTTAAAATGATAATATTAAAACCTTCAGCGAATGTATAATTATTATAAGTATTTAATATTCATTTTGTTGAGTGAATATATTAGAAATACTGTAACTAGTTGTATCGTTTTTGAAGTTATTTTTGTTATTTTCGGTTATAAAGTATTCATACTTATATTTTAAAATATTTCATTTATCACAATAATGTTCCTAATGCTAATATTTACTAATAAATTCAAAGTTTTTAGTGAGCATAAGATAATTTCATTTTAACAGGTGACAAGCAATGTCACTGTTATAGATCAACTTTTAACACAATTGCTTACAAAAATGAATTGAACCTAATTGGTAACAATTTTAAGTGTCTTTAGGCTTAAAGTATGATCAGACCAAGCAATCTCTTGTGGAGTATTTCTTACAACAGCAAACTTACGTTGATTTGGAACTAATTCTTCACATGTAATGTTTGATGTTCCTGCGAAAGATAATTGAGTACATTAAAAACCTACTGCTTTGTGTGTTTTTTGTGTGTTTGCGTGCGTGTGGGGTCGGTGCTATGTCAAGATTAAACTGGATTAAGCTCGTGTCTTACAAGTTAACACATTACCATTTTTCCAAAAAGATAATACGCTACTGTTATGGTAAATAAAATACTTCGAATTATCTAACTATAAGTGCTGGTACTAGTTCTCATGACAACCGGTGCGGTAACCCATAGTGGCACCACTTGCGCCAACTACTGCATATATATATATATATATATATATATATATATATATATATATATATATATATATATATATATATATATATATATATATTATATATATATATATATAGGGAATTAGGTGTCACCCCATTCAAGATGATATCACATTGTGCCCAATAGTGTTTTTAACTTTATTCTGCTATTAAATTCACTGGAAAAAAAAAAGAAAGCAGACATACTACGTATAATTAGTTATTTCGGTTTTTGGTGTTACTACCTGGAATGTTGTCACCCGGTGTGGTTCGCACCCCACTCCCCGCATCGTTACGCCATTGCACAGGATTACAGCATATATTAATATTTGTAACGCCAACATCGTTTCTCGGATTACTTTTCAATAATTTTACTTTCACTACATGTTACCTGATGAATGTTTAATACCTTTTTTAAAGGCGTGCATATTTGACGGTTTGCTTGAGACAAGTTGGTCACCGTTGTGCCACAGAAATAAGGCTGAGTCGTCCAGTGGTTCTAGTTTCTTGCATGAGCAGTTAATGCTCAGACCATCCTCCAGACACTGTCGCTGTATAACAGATGACCGTACTGTAAAACATTGCAATATTATTAGCTCAGTGATTTACTTTCAAGACGTTTTATTTTATTCTGCGACAAAACGCACAACTTAACGTTTGTGTATTGAACACGCGAAAATATACGGTTAAATTCCTCTCCGGAAATTAAAGAGACTGTTAATAAATAGATTTAAGTCGTTACTTCTTCATTATTAAATGTCGAATAAGGTACTCATATCTAGTCCGAAAATGCAGAAAAATAATTCCTTCCCGCCCTCACTCCGCTATTGTCACCACTAATTTCAACGCTAATTCTACTTTACACATTTAAATATGTAAGCAACTCGAAGAAATGTTTTAAAAATGTATTAACTGCCTTGTCTATCAGCATTTAGTTTTACTTCTGCTTTATATTCCATATCTCTTATTTACATTATTTATTAAAATCTTATTTCGATATACTTGTACCTATGTTTACTACTGCTGACAAAGAAATCCCAAAATGAAAATCCTTTTGAGTACCAGTTACATTGGGGTACACAAAAATATTGAAATCGTTGGGAGTTAAATGCAGTTTTTCAGTTTTCAGACTTGTAGAGCACTGGGCGTTGTAGTAGACTGGTTCAACAGAAACTGGAGCGTACTTGCATGAGGCTAGGGATATTTCATTGTACCATCGAATCGCCATCTGGTGAACATTATTGGGATCTATTAAATTTAGTTGAAAGAAATGGTAATTAAAAGAGTTTTTTTCAAGCATCTCTTTGGTATCAACACTCCCCCTCTCCGAAGCACGTCTACCTCCTCTTCCCCGAACGAGATTGGATTGATATATAAATTATATACTTTAACCATAGGCCGTCCATCGCCGCCCCCCCCCCCCCCCCCTCCCGCTCACCCACCCCGGATATTCATCTCCACCCTCCCCAAAATTATTTAAATGACCCATCCCTCCGGAGAAAAAATCTGAAAGAAACACTGGTTATTAGTAATACTTATTTTACAAAATTCTTAATTTTAAGAATTTCGAGCTACATTATTTTTTCTATAAATACTCGTATTAATGAACACAAAAAAAAACCCATACTACTTTGTTTCGCTAAATTAAATGGATTTTAATGTGTCAAAAAAAACCCCCCAAAAAACCGTTTAAATTACTTCCAGATGAGTATTAATTGCCAAGAGAAGAATTGGTTTTATATGAATAATATAAAGATCAAAATAATTATGTTCTTTGAAAATCGCTTGCTATTCATTCTTACATAAAGTAAATAAAATCTTGAGCTTAATCAGAGTCTGTGATGTAGAGAAATGGGTGTATTCACAAATTTCAACAATTTGAAATTTGACTTCTGTTTGCAAATGTGTTTGTATTTATTTTAAATTAAATTGCTTAAAACAAATATTATATATTTTGATCTTTCAAATAGATTCAAAACATTTGAACACTTGAAACAAGAGTTAGAAATTTTGTGTTCGGTAATTGCAACGTTTTTATACCTGAAGTGTTGTCAAATATTAAAGTTCGATAGTAGTGACAAAGGTAATGCACCGCGTAAAAAATGTAAAAAGTTACCAATGATCGTGGGTATGATTTTGTTGTATTACAGCTGTAATATATTTGACTTGCAGACCAAGTAGATTCGCAATGAGTCGTATTGGTGCTTGGCGCTGCTAAAAAAAAACAACAAATATTTTCAAAAATCAAAGGAAAATATATAACACAGAACATGGTTTACTTGAATTACGCAAATCAGCTGAATATTGAGATTATGTTATATGATTTAACATACCGTATACTTTTAAGTTACACGTGTAAAACGTTTCCTGTTTAGAATGCGAAGTGTGAGAGTGTAACGACCAAACTCCTTCGGAATTTCTGCCCAGTTGTCTTGTAACCCTTGGGAAGTGAATATTGAAGATCAAACTGTCATCTACTCTCTCAGTGCTGGCTTTCAGCCATGGGATGTCGTTATGGCTGCAATCGCCTGAGGCTACCGTACATTCGAAAGCGATGTTTCCGTCTTTCATCCACACAAACATCCTCGACTCGCTGGGAATGCTCGTCATGTTGTATTGAATGTCATAGGGCATTTCTTCCGCGGCTGGATCACACGTCAGGGCCGAAACAACTGCATATGTGTATCGACAGAGTAAATTAAGTTAGAGCTGAAACAACTGCATATGTGTATCGACAGAGTAAATTAAGTTAGAGCTGAAACAACTGCATATGTGTATCGACAGAATACATTAAGTTAGAGCTGAAACAACTGCATATGTGTATCGACAGAGTAAATTAAGTTAGAGCTGAAACAACTGCATATGTGTATCGACAGAATACATTAAGTTAGAGCTGAAACAACTGCATATGTGTATCGACAGAGTAAATTAAGTTAGAGCTGAAACAACTGCATATGTGTATCGACAGAGTAAATTAAGTTAGAGCTGAAACAACTGCATATGTGTATCGACAGAGTAAATTAAGTTAGAGCTGAAACAACTGCATATGTGTATCGACAGAGTAAATTAAGTTAGAGCTGAAACAACTGCATATGTGTATCGACAGAATACATTAAGTTAGAGCTGAAACAACTGCATATGTGTATCGACAGAGTAAATTAAGTTAGAGCTGAAACAACTGCATATGTGTATCGACAGAGTAAATTAAGTTAGAGCTGAAACAACTGCATATGTGTATCGACAGAGTAAATTAAGTTAGAGCTGAAACAACTGCATATGTGTATCGACAGAGTAAATTAAGTTAGAGCTGAAACAACTGCATATGTGTATCGACAGAATACATTAAGTTAGAGCTGAAACAACTGCATATGTGTATCGACAGAGTAAATTAAGTTAGAGCTAAAACAACTGCATATGTGTATCGACAGAGTAAATTAAGTTAGAGCTGAAACAACTGCATATGTGTATCGACAGAATACATTAAGTTAGAGCTGAAACAACTGCATATGTGTATCGACAGAGTAAATTAAGTTAGAGCTGAAACAACTGCATATGTGTATCGACAGAGTAAATTAAGTTAGAGCTGAAACAACTGCATATGTGTATCGACAGAGTAAATTAAGTTAGAGCTGAAACAACTGCATATGTGTATCGACAGAATACATTAAGTTAGAGCTGAAACAACTGCATATGTGTATCGACAGAGTAAATTAAGTTAGAGCTGAAACAACTGCATATGTGTATCGACAGAGTAAATTAAGTTAGAGCTGAAACAACTGCATATGTGTATCGACAGAGTAAATTAAGTTAGAGCTGAAACAACTGCATATGTGTATCGACAGAGTAAATTAAGTTAGAGCTGAAACAACTGCATATGTGTATCGACAGAATAAATTAAGTTAGAGCTGAAACAACTGCATATGTGTATCGACAGAATACATTAAGTCAAGGCTGAAACAACTGCATATGTGTATCGACAGAATAAATTAAGTCAAGGCTGAAACAACTGCATATGTGTATCGACAGAATACATTAAGTCAAGGCTGAAACAACTGCATATGTGTATCGACAGAATACATTAAGTCAAGGCTGAAACAACTGCATATGTGTATCGACAGAATACATTAAGTCAAGGCTGAAACAACTGCATATGTGTATCAACAGAATAAATTAAGTCAGGGATGACATAACTGCATATGTGTATCGACAGATACATTACGACAGGGCTGAAAAAACTACACACATACATCTACAGAATAAATTAAGTCAAGGCTGAAACAACCGCACTGTATATCGACATAAAACAACATTTAAAACAATATTAATCAATGCATTCTTTTAGTATAATATATTGTATGATACACAACTGACAGCTTGGTGGGAATGTAGAGCTTACGACTTCTAAATAATCTCGAGTCCGGTTCCTGGGCTTGGGTCTGTATGACGTCATCGAGTCCATTTAGCTCTCCATGGTACCTGACTCAGATTGGGGAAAGCTAAGCCGAATGCACATAGTACTGACTATATCATCCCTTCATATACTTAGGTCATTGAAACCTGTAGATTCTACTTTGCTAACTCTAAAGACCGTGAGGTTCGAAAAGGGTACTTTGCTTTCACTTTTTATTCAAGTTCTATTATTATGATAAAGATAAGTGTACCAACCACCAATCAATGAGAGTACGATTGCTTGAGACAGAGTACACAATTTCCTTCCTGGCTCCATTCTCTATAGACATCAATCAGCCGATTGTTTAACATGAAACAAAAAGAATATATGGACTAATTTATACAGTCAAATGATTTTACAATTAAATGCATATTATCTGAGGTATAGATTTTGTTTTGAATTCAAAGTTTTAACCATTCTTTTGTTTTAGCGAAATCTTCCTACGAGTGAATCGAACTTTTATATTTTTTTAAATAAACAGAATAATTTTTTTTAATGTATGCATTGATTATAATAGTTATTGTGTTTTTTAAACTGCGAATTCTGGTTATTTGGCTTTTATCAGAAAAACGTCACTATCTTACCCCTAACGCTAGGTAACATAAAGGCGCATTAAGTAGTTGTATAACGTATTCCGAGAATGTGTTATCTTTGAAAATGCCATACCATATACGGTAACATTCTTTATCTTTATAACAGCTAATACTTTGGTCTTGTTATTACACATATTACACACACCATACACTGTATAGCCGCCCCACCCCGAACACTATCCGGCAAACGAAGTATAAATTATCAACAAACACCGTCACAAAAGTTTTTTTTTTGTGCACACTAAATTGTGGTGTTATTTTTATCTGTGGGCTTTTGACTGTGGGCCCTTTTGTCATTGACGGTGTGTCACGAGTCGCTATACCTGTAGCAATTGATCAAGCCTACCGTAACTGTAACGAGTTTTATTTACATTACAAAGACAAGATTTGCTGTGTAAAAAGATCAATACGAGTTACATTTTGAAAGAAATTTTCCATGCCGAATTCATAACTTGATTGAACATGATATCTTAACGTTCATAACATAAACAAGGTCGAAAATATTACCAGAAGATCAAGTAAACAAAACATAGATCAGGGACGCATAACGATTTAATGTTTGTACTTGCAGAAGAAATACAACCCAGTGTAACTTCTTGTATGCCTTTTTACAAGCTTTTATTAAACTCACTTCCTCTGTATGTCGTCAGTCGTCAGTCAGTGTGTCTAGATTGAAACGCCCGGGCGAAATTGCAGGCACTTCTAACTGACAGATACGGTTCGATTTTTTACATGGGTCAAGACATGAAGACAATGCAACATGACATTAAATTTGACGTAAATAGATGTCTAATTAATTTTTTATGAATTAATTAAAATTTTGTTAAAATTAGTAGGCTGTCTGATCAAACTATTCCGCACTATTACACACGAGTCATCACGTTCATTACGTGTGCAATGGTTTTTAGTAATGCAACTCTATTGTAAATTTAAAACATTTAAAGTACTGAAAAAAAATTCATAAATACTAATATTTAGGAAGAGACCCACGCTTATCTCTATAGTTATTTAAATAAAAGTGTATAATTTATTTGTGTGTATGTATGTATGTGTGTGTGTACATATGTATGTGTGTCTGTAAACACGATAACTTGAGTACCGTTACAGCTAGGTTGATGAAATTTCATTATATCAAATTAGTAGATCCGTATCAACATTTCAGCGATTTCCAATAACTTTTTCTACTTTCAATTTTCCAAAAGCCTATAACTTGAGTACTATTTCAGATATATAAATGAAGTTTCACACATAAGTAAAATATATAATTCTCTGTCCTCTATCAAATTTGAGTAATTTCCGTTGAACCGGAAGTAGTAATTTACGCTATTTCCGATTTATCAAAAAAAAAATACGCTTGTGAATTTATAAAGTACTAATAATATCCCGCACTACTATGCACATTTTGTTTGGCGTTCATTTGGTGTGCAATTCTTTTTCTACGAGATTCTATTCTATTATAAAAAGTTTAATTAATTAAAAATGGATTTAAAATATTGTCTATATCCCGAGTTGCAATACCCCGTAGTGTTATATAAGAATATTCGAGAAAGTTTAGGGGAGATCACTCCCGGTTTATTAAAATTAGTAAATTTAATAATTAGTATAGTTAATAATGTGACCCACGCTTTTCTTTGTAGTAATTTAAATAGTAGTGTATTATTATATATGTAAAGAAAATCATGTATTTTCTACTTTTTAGTCTATTATTACATAAAAGCTTGTTATTAAAACGTTTTTCATGAATAAAAAAAATATATTTTGTTATAAAAAGAAACTATCGCACTTTTACTCTACATTCACAATAACTGTCCGTACACGATGTTCATTGTTTCTAAGATCCATTGTATTGTTTTATACTTGTGTTATACATTTTATTGTAAGCAGTATATTGTAAATATGTTCTTCTCAATTAAAAACAAGGTAATTAAAAAGTCTAGTGACAATTTTAGAGCAATTTCCTTATGTTATCTAAAAATAGCTCTGTCGTAGCGTAAATCAAGAGCAGGGTTAGTAAAACCATTGGTTAAAATACATGTTTTATCTACAATAGAGTTACATGACTAAAAACCATTGCGCGCATAGCTACTGAACGTGATGACGCAGCCATTTAAACGTGATGGCGCAGCCATTGAACATGATGACGCGTGTGGTGTGGTTGGATAAACATGCCTACTAATTCGGTCCAAATTTTAATTAATGCAAAAAATTTTTTGTGACCAAACGAAAGGATATTTTTGAAAACTTTCTTCGGCAATATTGTTCTAAATTATAGCTTGAATCGACTGGTAAATGTTTCAAGTCGCTAAGTGGTCTGGTTGCCGAGATATGGGCCAAAAACTGCATTCTTTTCGAGATTTTTTGGCTTTTTCGGGAAATCCATGAAAGAAACCCGGAATTTTTTTGGCCCACTATCATCCTGGTAACTTGCTTAACATAATTGCTTTTTGAACTAGTCCTCGATATTGCTTCGTTGAGGAGAAGATACGACTTAAAGCTGCGGACACACATCCATCCATCAATCCATTCATACATTCATACATCCAGAAATGACGGGTTAATAAACACAATTCTCCAGAATGGAAATTGCGCTAAAAATGGCTTTAAAACACTTGCGTGAACGTTTAAGAATACTTTTAAGAAAACGATTTTTCAATTTACATTGTCGCTACCTATTAAACAAACTATTATTATATTACAACTCTTAAAATGATATCTTGATCATATTGAATTGAACTTTATTGTGGTTTATGTACAAGTTTAGTGCGATCAAATCCTTAAAATGAATAATTGAAAATATTCGAAATAAAAGCAAGCATTAATGACACAATCACAAATAATAGAAAACACAAAGCTTCACAAAGCTTCACAAAGCTTCACAAACTTACAAACTTACAAACTTCACTAACACAAACAGGAAAAACCAGAAAAATAACGGCTACCTGTGCTGAAAATAATAACAAGTTTGTACAAGTATAGTTGAAGTTTTCCTGAAGATTGCAGCTGAATAATATTATTTACACGAATCCAAATTTAAGAAGCAAACAAAAACAACGGTTTAGTTAAAATTATATGATAAATGATTATACGTACATTTATTATCTAATTGTATACCTTCTGGATTCTTTATAAACAAATAAAATACTTTACACTACAATAAACAAAACAGACCATTCCTTTTCTGAAAAAAAAGATAAAGTTGTTTCAATCGGGTTTTCCCAATGTTAGATTTGGTCTCTAACTTACCCGATTATTACTTCGATTTAAGAGTTTCTACTACAGCTTAATCGTATCATCTCTAGTCCTGTGGCATTATTCATATCTAAGTAGTATACACTTATAATTTTTTTTAAAGTGTGGATACTTTTGCTATCAAATGATTTTTTTAAAAATCTAATCATCCTTGTTTTTGGTTCTAGCGCTAGCAAAGAAGATTGTCATCAAGAATCCCTTAAACCAGAAAATAACAGGTCATCTATTTATTTAGCACACAATGTACGACTAGCGTAAAGGGGTCGGGTCTGTAAAGCTCATGATTGCTAAACCGAAAAGTCTCGAGTTCGAAACACAAGGCAGATGAGGCACTATAGATGGGGACAGACCCTCGTGTAGGGAATAAAACTTAAAATCTAAAAACATCTGCCTTGTAGTTCGTTCTTAGTTGGACAAAGACTTTGGAAGCAAATCCAGAAAAAAGCAGGCTTAAATCGGAGTTAATGACCCACATGGAGCATAACAACTTGACACATAAAACTCAATTTTGTTGGAGGAAATGAAATCACTTACATTAAAACCATAAAGAACGAAGAAAAAAAGAAGTTGTGATTGAAATCCAAAGATACACATTAAGAAAAATATAAAACATGATGTTAAGTTTTTATAGACATTATTCGGCGTGACAAATTCATTTTTTTCCTGAAATATCGATATTCAAATAAATCTGTGTAGGGCCGACGTTGCTTTTGGGAAGTATTTCGGGATTAACACAAGCTGCTTCTTCATATGTATGGCTTGATTCGTTATGCTGTGCATCGTTGTCACACATACGAAATGTTGTCAAATTTGGGAGGGTTCCATCTGTAATGTAATGTGTAAAAATCCAAATAATTAGGTCAACATACACAATGTAAGCATATAATATTTGCAGCCTTATATAACTTTATATTTATATTATAAATTTACATAACCAATTATAAATAATTATATATATATATATATATATATATATATATATATATATATATATATATATATATATATATATATATATATATAATGTATAACATGTGTGTACATATTGTGTTTGTGTGTCATTTATAAAAGTTTACAAACCAAGAGTTGCTGGTCCTTCGTTGGAAATCACGTACAGCCTTTCTGATCTTTCTCTGTGAAAATAGAAGTATACTAGTACTTATAAAGGCAAGTAACTATTTATTACTACAATATAACCTGTATAACAGTATATTCTACCGTCATGTCGAGTTAGATTTGTCCATCTTTATGTAGTCTTTTTTAATATTATTGTAGTTTAAATATTTTGTAAAAAGTTATATTACAATGAACAAAACACATTTTTGAGTGTTCGAGTATCATATTAGAACACCAGTTCTTACCCTTGTACGATGCTTTGTTTTCTGTTAATACCTGAGTAATAAAAAGATTATTACGATGACAATAATATTTCTTTTTAAATGCTAAAAACATTAAAACTTATGAACACACTATAAAGTAATTTTTATAATTCTTTTCTTTTCGGATATCTAATAAAAACCTAATGTTATAACAAGAAAAAAAAAAGAAATTTTACTTTGAATATAACAGATTGAAGCCATGAGAAGTAATGACATCACGACGATTGTAGTTATTAGGGACATTATCAACACGAAGTACTCTTGGTTGCTTTGACTCAATCCTGGAATAGAAATAAAATGTATACTTGTACGAAAATGTGATGTCTTATGTAATTTAAACTTTAAAACATTGGTACACTACTATTTATCATGCCCGAGTTATGTGGGAGGAAGGGGGTGGGTCGAAGAGCTGCGGAGAGTGAGTAAACATGACTTTAGTTCTCAGTAACAGAGTTGACCTGTTAGTTACAATATGACTCCATGTGACTGAGCTCTTTCACAACCCCAACCACGGGGATTGCTGCGGACAGCAATCTATCTAGGAGAGAAATTTCCAAAATCAAACAACTGCTGCCTTGTTGTTTGTTCTTGGTTGGACAAAGGCTATAAATATTAACTCTTCGTACAAAGAGTTAGTGTATCCTCGTAATATAATTCTTATTTAATTATGCATCTTATAATAATTATAATATAATAATTACATATAATTCTTCTTTTTAATAAATAAATCATGGGAAGGTAAATCAATAAGTAGGTTTGATGTTTAAGATGCGATAAAATAATTTTCAATAGCTTTTGTCCAATTCAATTTAAGCTTGATATTCTTGTAGAAAAAAAAATCACACCAGATTATATAAAATTAGAGTATTAACCCTTTTGCACCAACCATAATGAATTAAGACGTTGATTTCCTTTGTTACTTTACAAATATCATACGCCAAAGTGAGATTGAAACTCCCCTGTTGATGTGTAGAGCTGATGTTGTAGACAGCACATGGTTCACCAGAAGCCACAAGTTCTTGTTGGTGTTTAATTTTTGCTCTACAAGGTGACGGCAAATCTCGGCAACAGAACGTGATTGTACTCTCGTTGGTCTGAAGTTGTAACGCGTTTGAGTCCCCGGTAAAATTGAATCCATTTACATCAAACATGACTTCAGATAGATCTAGAGGGCATAAAAAAAAATTCAAAATTATCTTTATAAGCTGTTTTGATTGAAATAATTTATACATAACTGCATTTAATAATCTTATATAAGAATAGTTTATTTTTCAATAATACAAATAATATTCTTGGCTTTTATTCAAAAATCAACAGCTTGAACTATGCTATGTATAAATAGTATACACTAGTATACACATACATTTACACTAGAAATATTGGATTCATGTGAAGACACACACAATAAACCAATGATGTTCACTTTTTGAAATGTTTGAGTTAATGTCATATTTATGTAGTGCTAGTGTATATGTATCTCGTATTACAATGTGAAAGCGTAAAACCACCTCGAACCCCTCGATATTTAGAATTTAAAATAATGCCACGATGGAACAGCGATAGATCTCAAATACAAAATCCATTTTTTTCCCCTCAAAAGTGAAAAACTGTGAAAACAGTGGTTTATAGAATATTTATTTTAAAATTTACAAAGTAGAAAGTTTTATTATAAAGAAACAATATGTTAAATAGTATTGTTATTTTTTAAATTAATTATTGGTACAAGTACTTTGTAAATATTTATTTCAGTTAAGTTTCTTATTGATTGATTGCTGATGTTATATGTAAAATTATTTTTTAGATAATTATACTCAAGGTTAATGTAAGTTATGTATATTTCAATTATCGATTGAAGTTCTGTAGGCTACATGTATTAACATACAAACTCTTCTAAACTAAGATACCAACTTACCGTACATCTGGGGTATTTTCTGTACATTGCTGACAATATCGACTCCTACATAGCCTTTAAGGAGACCTCCACTGTATTTACTGGAGGCAGTCATGTTGATGACCACTTGAAAGAGGGTGCCTTCACTTTGATTACAGTAACACACGGCTGTTTGCGACAGGGAACACTTGTGATCCAGGTTCACTAGACACAGCTGGAGATGAGGTTAAGCACATTTTTAAAGTTACATTCAATGCAGCATCTTATTATCAGCATCAGCATCGTGTCCAAAAGCTTTCATCTGTTTCAGAGACATCGGCATATAAAGGGATATTGTGGTCAGCACTAAACCCAACCACCCATTTTTTTCCTTAACGTGAGTTAGAAACCCATCAGAGCTCGGTGGACTCAGGGAAGTTCCACTGACTTGAACCCCGATTCGAAAATGATTAAATTTATATAATTAGTGTTTTTTTTTCTTCTTTTTGCTTTCTCAAGTCCAAGGAAAACAGAGCATTCAATTTTATAGAACTTCACGACTTCAGTGTGCTATTATCTATCTCATATTTTTCTTTATTGCTTAGGGAAGAACTTTCAGTATTTAAACGAACGTTAAACTCAAATTGTCAACAAAGTTGATGATTAATTTTACTTTTGTGATGTTTATGGTACAATTGTATATATACAATTTGAATATTTACGTCTATATGAACAATTTTTAAAATCAACTATTCTATGTTTACAGTTTCGATATTCTAACAGAGCTTTCTATAAAAGTTTTCTAAAAATGTTAAAATTGCTCACATGGTGCCACTGGTCACTGCTATATCTTGCAGTGTGAAAGCGCACCGTTTTGTTTTCCAATCCGACCGACCCTGCGTCCACTGCTACATTATACACAACATAATCCTTCCATGATATAAAACCTGTCGTGCACTCTGTTTTACTGTATGTTGGGTTGTAGTCACTGATGGTAATCTTCTGTGCTAGACTGTTGCCTGGGGTATATGCAAATGCGTAGGTTATTTCAGATGCGTAGAGAGGGGGGGGGGGGGTGCGGGGGGTGCGGACCGCACCGGGTGACACCATTTAGAGGGGTGATACCAAGGCAAAAATAGGAAAATATATAGAGAAAAACTTGAAAGGGGGGGGGTGCAAATGGAAAGTTTGAGGGGGGGTGCAAATCGAAAGTTTGAAAGTTTGAGGGGGGGGGGGGGGTGTAAATCGAAAATTCGAAAGTTTGTCCCCGGGAAGGGTCGCTACGCCTCTGGGGGGTGACACCATTAAGTGCCGCACCGGGTGACACCCGACCTCGCTACGCCACTAGGTTATTTTCATATGTGAATTAATGTTACCAATCTTACTACTGTGGTTCTATTAATTAACTTGTATATGCTAATGGTTGAAGGGTAGACCGTTTCGCTACAGACTCGAAAGTACAAAGTCTGGATCTCGCTCCAGCTTTGATGGGTACCTGATTCACGATGGGCAAATCAAAGACGGCTATGCATAGTGCTGATCACACTATCCTAATCCATGCCGAGGTTAAGGAATACATGAACTCTACTACATTTGCTCCGTGGGTAGTTACATCTGAAAAGAGAGCTTTACTTTTCTTTTTAGATTTCCGATTAAGGTTTTCTATCCTACGATATTACCTATGGTCAATGGTCACAAAACATTTAATATTACCCAACATACTTGCATTCAGTGTTACCATTAATCAGAATGTATTCGCTAATCCAGATTTTCTATCTACAAGATTACCGACGGTCAACGTGAATGTGCATGGCATTTTCAAATGCGATTCAGTACCACTGTACATAAACATTAAACTGATTCTGAATATAACATTTCTGATAAGTCTGTCGAGTATTTAGATCTGCTTGGTCAGATTTTGCAAAAACTTACCCTCCACACACGCATGCACTCACCAACACACATACACACAAAAGAGGTTATTGCATTATATTGTATCTTGTATATGAAATACAGTGAAAAGAGGCTTGACGCTTTTATAACTAAAGTAAAAGAACACCGTTTTGTAATAAAAAGTTCAAAAATAATTATTTAACCTCGCATTTCATTATATACCGTGTAGGCATACTATTTTATAATGTGTATACTTAATGTTGTCAATAAATAATAATCATATCCATAACCTTCAAATGCAGTTTATTGAGCATCGTAAACTTACCTTGGATGAAAGACATTGCCAGGAAAATATGCATGTACCACATTTCTAAACCTACACAAATACTCAGCCAGCTAAATCAGATCCTTGTATTTCTTGTGCTGTGAGTACACAGATTTTTAAGTTTAGATTGATTGATCTACTCACTGAGTCACTGATCAAACTGTGACGTTAATGAGATGATGGAACATGACGCATGCTGATTCACCAGTTTATTATATAAGTTTTGTAGAAGTTCAGCTTTAAAGTCAAAGCGAAAAACCTACTTAAACCAAGAGCGTAAAGATTGTAAAGTACATTTTACAAAGCCGTTTAGACATACTTAGGATAACATCTGTATAGTACATATATATATATATATATATATATATATATATAGTATATAACTAGGATAATATTTTACACTACATCGTGATAGAACTAGGATAATAATACTACAGTATAATAGAACGAGAATACAACTCTACAAAAAATACAAATAGGATAAATATTACCACTACTCCGTGATATAACTAGGATAATAACACTACAATAGAATAGTTTATGATACATTTTGGACAGCAGGATAGAACTAGAATAATATTTAAAAATAATAGGTCTAAAGAACTGAGATAATATAAATACAGCTTGAAAAAAGCTAAGAAATCATCACAAACACTTTAGTTTAAACTAATCCTGACTACTGATGTAATAAAAGCACGGTGAAAACATCTCCTAATAAGTAACGTGCTGGGAAGTTGAGAGAGAGAGGGGGCATCAATGACCTGTCTATAGACCTGTAAGAGAAGTGGTCAGTTTCGGTGCTATTGATATCATTAGTACATTAGTTTCCCTCCTGCCGATCCGATTCTCTCACGGTCTTCTGCGGATCAGTTTCTTATAAGCACAGCTTCATATAATTCAACCAACAACCACAATTAAAACACACACAATTTACATCCACACAACGTAATGACGGCTAAATTGAATGCTTTCGTTGGCTATCAACCTAATGTTTCTTTCAAGCTTGTTACTGGAGAACGCTTGAAAATACAAACTTAAAACAGTACAAATCAAACGTAAAGTTTCCCTTTCAAACCTGACGGTCTATGGGGTAAGTGAAGTGAGTTCACTTGTTTTGTGTCCTCGGCATATGTAGAGATATGTAGGGACGGTCTTCTGACTTGAACCCGGATTCGAACTCGAGACTTACGGGTTAGCAGTCCAACTCTCCACCGCTAGACCACTCCGTCCCACAGTGTCCGACCTTAACTCCAGTGACATCCTCCCCCAACCCACACAACCCCACCAACAACATTATCAGTTAGAAACCTTGTATAAAACGAAAAACAAACATTTCAAACAAAGTTGGTAGTTTCAGTCATGTTGCAAAAATGGAACCGGTACTTATGGATGAATTCGAGACATTCTTTGTTTGGAGAAAATAGAAGTTTTATTTGCGCGTTTGGGGGTCCATGGTTTGATGTTGATGATGATGATGATGATGATGATGATGATGACGATGACGATGACGATGACGATGACGATGACGATGAAGATGACGATGACGATGATGATGATGATGATGATGATGATGACGATGATGATGACTATGATGATGATGATGATGATGATGATGATGATGATGATGATGATGACGATGATGACGACGATGATGATGATGATGATGATGATACGTATTTGACTAACAACACACTAACGATGTCAACCCTAATACTTGAATACATGACGTATGATTAATTAAAACAACAAACCAGTGAAGTTTTTAATAATTTTATTATTTGTGTTTTGTGCGTCTGTGTGTTAGTTGACGAAGCACTTCAAGTACAGCGAAAATGAACAGACAATTTTTCGAATCATAAAATTAAAGGAAAGACGTTTATCTTACTGCTTCTATATGGATCAGTGGAAATTTTTCCTTTCAATTAGTGAACAACACCTATCCATACTTGACTAGTTATTTCAAAATTTCCAGATGAATTCCAAGTTAAATATTTTATTTCAAATATAAATAAAAATTACATTAAATTGTCATTAACATTCGTTCAAAGAATACTGTATTTACCAAAAGGGGAGACATCTAAATTAAGTAATAGCAATCACTAATGTGAGTTGATGAGGACGGAAATTTTCAAAGTGAAAGCTTTTTTTTTCTTTCTTGTATTTATTTAGTTTACTTTTTAGTAGCTTGATACTGTAACGATTTTTAACAACATGTTTAAACAATTTTATTTTAAAATTTGACCCAGTGTTTGTGTATTTTGTGTATACAAATTCATAGGACTTGGCAGTACCATATACCCGTCTCATTCCCCAAATATGTATGTTGTCCATGACTTCAGTGGACACCTGACTAACGTTTGGTGAAATTTAATTTAAAAAAAAAGCATAAAAACAAAAAGTAAAGAAGAAATTAAAAAAAATTAATCAAGCATCATAGAATGGACCACACTATAAACTTCATATAGGCCTACTGAGGTCAGAGAAACAGGCAAACTCTACTTCACACACTGAAAGTACAAAAAAGTCAGCCTTACGTCCAGAAACAATAACTCACCGTATTGGTATATGGATCAGGTTTTCAAAATGTATCGAATGAACAACACGACCGAGCTGTATTGTTAGTAATGTGTATAATTAACAAAATATTTATAAACACATTTGATTTACAAAATAACCTTTAATTAAAAGAAATGAAATTTTGAAATACAACAAGATACAAGATAAATTTCCTTGCAACTTTACTCATCTTCTAGCTCGGGAGCTGGGAAAGAAAAGCATGCTATAAGAACTAGTTGTAAGTTAAAGTAAATATTAATATTTTTAAAGAGTAATAAAATAATATTATTCGGCGTGTCTGCAATGTAAAATCCATCAACCCCATACTTAATCCAGGTAAATAGAAAGCTTCTCATTTCGTGCCTGACAGTCCATGGCGCTGGTGAATTAGTGTTCACCTGTTTTTGGGACCTCGGCATATGAAGGGAAAGAGTGGTCAGCATTATGCTCAGACGATTTTACTTTCCTAACGTGAGTGGGTTACCCATCAGAGCTGGATGGACTAAGGGACATTCTACTAACTTGAACTTGGATTCGAGCTCGAGACTTTTAGGAGATTACCGCGCTACCGCTAGGTCAAGCTTACCGCATACATATATATATATATATATATATATATATATATATATATATATATATATATATATATAATTCTCTACGTCGCCCAACCATGCACGCACGCCGACTCTCTACCCCTCCTCCCGCCCCCTCCCTCGCTCTCCAGGCATGCGCAACATTGTGTACCCACCCACCCCATTTGGACAATTGTGTCTTTCAGTAAGTCTTCACCCATCACTAAATAGAAGCGTATTCTGCACCGCGGGTCGGCTCTTTTGTATTACAAGAATAAACCAACAATTATGACTTTTCGTTCAAAATATTCATTGCCCCACGGCGTGGCTTACAAACTAGTACATCTATTTCATTTAAAATATAATTATATTTCTATATGCTGAAACATGAATTCGATATTTTATTTAAGGAAACAAAATTGTATTTATCACCGTGAACTTACCAAGGTCTACCCGCTTATTCATGGCAAATATAGTACAACTTAAGCAAGAGGCCACCACAATGAACAGTGCTACAAATCCCCAGAATCGAAAAATGGTGTCACCCGCCGCAGCACTGTCAGTGAGGGGTACACGGGGTGTGAAGATATCTGTGGACGAAACATGGAGGACTTATTGACGTGTGGTTACTGGAAAGATATAGGGCTGGTAAGTAGGTCACCAACCAGCTGTATCGCTCATGCAGGTTTCATTGAGCCGTAGAACTGGTTGGTGACCTACTTACCAGCCCTATAATACGTATGGCGGAGTTGGGTAATAAAAGATGAGGCATGAGGGAACTATTGGAAAGGATCGATTGTAAAAAAAAAATAATGACGCAAATGCAAGTTTTAAGCTCCACTGTCTGAAGTCACGAACATCTAAGCTCTACTGCCTGAAGTCACCAACATCTAAACTCCTGACGCTACTAACATCTAAGCTCCTGACATCACCAACATATTAACTCATGAAGTCACCAACGTATAAGCCCCACTACCTGGCGTCACCAACATCTGAGCCCCACTACCTGACGCCACCAACATATAAACTCCTGACGCCACTAACACCTAAGCTCCTAACGCCACCAACATCTAAGCTCCTGACGCCACTAACATCTAAGCTCCTGACGCCACCAACATCTAAGCCCTACTACTTGACGCCACCAACACCTAAGCTCTAAGCTCCTGACGTCACTAACATCTAAGCTCCTGACGCCACCAACATCTAAGCTCATGACTGACGCCACCAACATCTAAGCCCACTACCTAACGCCACCAACATCTAAGCCCTACTACCTGACGTCACCAACATCTAAGCTCCTGACGCCACTAACATCTAAGCTCCTGACGCCACCAACATCTAAGCTCCTGACGCCACCAACATCTAAGCTCCTGACGCCACCAACATCTAATCCCCACTACCTGACGTCACCAACATCTAAGCCCTACTCCCTGACGCCCTTTCCCTACCTGCATACACCTCCACCTCGCACAGAGTCAAATGTTTCACACCGGGGCTGATTCTCAGCGTGGAAATCCATTTGTCGTGAACGAAGGTTGGGTTCCAAGGTCTAGGCCACATGGCGAACCCATCCTTCTTAAAGCTTTCTTTCTCGTTAGTGATAGAATACGGCATGCTTATCATCACCTGATTACCTACAGTACAGTGGGACGTAATAAAAAGGAATTTAAAAAAAAAAACGGTTGGCATGGAAACCGATTGTTATTGATGCCGACGAAACCAGATACAAGGCTAAAAACTGTAGCGTAAAAGCGAATCAATGTGTCTTTTGTTCAAAATAATACGTTTATTTCTTTCTCCATTTTCTTTCTCCTATCTATAAAAGCTTCTTCTTCTTCTTCTTCTTCGTTCTTAATTATTAGTGTTGAAGGGGATCGAGATTTATCTGCCAGTGGGTACTCGAGACTTTGTTCGAATTCATCAACCATGAGCTTTTTGCCGACTCGACCACGTCTCCAACACAATTAAGCGTTACGTGTCAACCGGTTATGCGCCATTGAGGCCATTGACTCCGATTTCAGCCTGCTTTTCTTTTTGGATTTGCTTCCATAGCCTTTGTCCAACCAAGAACAATCTACAAGGCAGCAGTTATTTAATTTTGGAGTTGTCTCTCCTAGAAGAGTGGCTGTCCCCAGCTAACGAGCCTCATCTGCCCGAGGGTTCGAACTCGAGACTTTTCGGTTTAGCAACCATGAGCTTTACTGACTCGACCACGCCGAGTCAGCAAAGTTGATTCTTTAAGGATGTCTCTGTTAATCTCACTTATTGAGTTGTACGTGTAAATACATTTCAAGCGAATTTCTTTTTTGGCGAACTGCGTTGTTTACTCTCATTTTAAATGGAGTCTTTTTGAAAAAAAAAATAATCGCTTTTAAAGTGACTATTGACCTAGGCTGACTGCATTCTAAATTAACTATGCGTTTATTAAATCAATCACTTACAGAAGCGACACCAACTTGATATTTAGTAAAAGAATAGATAAGGTGACATAGGCTCCTGGTAAAATTACCAGATTCTTAGAAATGTAATTTTAAGAGGTTGAAAATGAACACGATTTACCGGCTTATTGTACCTATTAAAGGGACGTATTGGAGTTAAGAATTTAAATTATTAATTCCTTCCATTCTTTGACTACATGCAAAAATAAAATCAATATTAATTCTTAACACTATGTAACATGTATCAATAACACTATTACAGCACCAAATCTTCGCCCCATGATATAATCGTCTCTTTTACCTATTAAAGGGAAGTAATTGTGTCAATAGTTTAAACTTTTAATTCATTCCGTTCTTTGACTACATACAAAAAAAAAAAGAATCTATTTATACAATTCTCTTCTTGGAGACGGCAGAAAACACCAAGCTGTAAGCGCGCCTAGCAGTCCCCTCTCTTCCTCTCTAGGCATATCGCAACCACCCCCACCCCCACATGGTCTGGTGAGCTGTGGTTCACGCTAAATGTTTACAATCATAGAGACGGTTTTAGTGACGGCTATTAGGGGCAGATAATTTAGTTTGAAACTATTTTAAACTTAGGGGAGGTAACTAAGAGGAGGCTGCTTTCACGGGTGGAGGGGGGGGGGGGGGGGGTGGAGGTTGGGGGGAAAGGAGGGTTTTAGTGTTTTAAAGCAAATATTTTCAGTGACAGCATTGGTACTGTCGAATTCACAAATTATAAATTACTGAAAAAGAAAAAAAAAACTAAATAGCGGCGTATGATACGCCGCGGGTCGGCTCGTCAATATAAATTCTTAACACTATATAACAGATATCAATAACACTATTACAGCACCAAATCTTCGTCCAATGATATATTATTCTCTTTTAGCAAACACAAAAATGTAATTAAAAAAAACAAAAAAAAAACAACAAAAAACCCACAATTTTATCCTTATCATGTCTTCTACCTGCGTATATGGCGACCCTGGAGACGCGAGTATTGTTTTGCGGCTTCAAGACAATCACCAGCGGAGATGTGACGTCGACGCACGTCCGGTACCTGTCCCCGTCCGTGATGATTGACAGCAGCTTGTCGTTTGCATTTGACACTTCCACCACCAGACGTGCTGGTACCAAGTTACGCATGAGATTAATCCCTGTGACAAGGTTGATGGCATGTAATCCAGGTGAAGTAATAAAACTTAAATATTTCAAAGTAACTTCACGCTATGAGAGTGACAATATGAGCACTAACCGCCATTGAGATAAACTGAGCAAATAGAAAGATGAAATTTCACTTCTATCTCTATCAGATCTAGTAAAACCGCGTCTTCCAACTCCACATATACTCGATTGCTGATCACATTTGTTATCATTGCTGTTACACTTTTAAATTCCGACAAAAAACCATAACTCTCCATCGTCTTATAGGAAACTATGAAGGTGTCAGACTCAAAAACACCTAGAAAAAAAAAAGAATATATATGTATATATATCTATATATCTATCTATCTATATATCTATATATCTATATATCTATATATCTATCTATCTATCTATATATATATATATATATATATATATATATATATATATATATATATATATATATATATATATATATATATATATACTATATACTATATACTATATACTATATACTATATACTATATACTATATACTATATACTATATACTATATACTATATACTATATACTATATACTATATACTATATACTATATACTATATACTATATACTATATACTATATACTATATACTATATACTATATACTATATACTATATACTATATACTATATACTATATACTATATACTATATACTATATACTATATACTATATACTATATACTATATACTATATACTATATACTATATACTATATACTATATACTATATACTATATACTATATACTATATACTATATACTATATACTATATACTATATACTATATACTATATACTATATACTATATACTATATACTATATACTATATACTATATACTATATACTTTATACTTTATACTATATACTATATACGTTATACTTTATACTTTATACTATATACTATATACTATATACTATATACTATATATCATATACTATATACTATATACTATATACTATATACCATATACTAGGGGTCATCCATAAATGACGTCACGCTTTTTTGGACGATTTTTACCTCCCCCCCTCCCCTCCGTCACACGTCGTCACAAAAAGTCAGACCCCCCCCCCTAAAATGACGTCACACCTCAACCTACAACCCCCCTCAGAATTGCAGTTGAATTTTTTTAAAACATCGATATTTTTCCAAAATCTTGTCTAAACTATTACAATTTATTAAAACAGTTATCTAAAACGCGAAATAACGTCTAAAATTCGTTTTCTAACATTGCTTTTTTATAATGCAAAAATGTGACGTCGCAACATCTGAACCCCCCCCCCCTCCCCCTCATCACACATCGTCACAAAATTACGGACCCCCCCCCCCCTCCCCCGTACGAGTGTGACATCATTTATGGATGACCCCCTATTATATAATTGTTTAACGTACAGTAAATAGGTATATTTGTTTTACTCGAGATTTAAAAACTGTTACTATATTTTCAGTCAAATATTTACTATGCATTTTAGGTTAAAACATCATAGAAGCTAACATTTTTCCAAAATTATGAGACAGAAATTTTTTTATAGAAAGAAAAAACTAACAAACACGTAATTCCCTTGCCTCGTCACGTCGTAGGGCCTACTCTTCTTTTTAAACCTAACGATCCATAGAGCAAATTAAGTACTGGGTGCGGACTTATAGTTATACCAGTGTTAAGGTAACTAGTAGAATTTCACCCGATTTTTAAAATGGATTAAAGCATATAGTTTATCGTAACATTAAAATGCAACCTATAAATTGCAGTCTGCAACGATTTCCTTGGAGGCCTTTGTATCCGAATGGCCCTTTTCCTCGAAAATTTAGTTAAGATTAAAAATAACTAAATTTTAATATTATTTTTGCATACCACTTTAATAAATATTTTACTGCTTATTATGTTTTTAATAAAAGATAGTTTTAATGCGTCATTTTAAATATTTTTTTTCAGTATTTAAATTTTTTTTACACAACAGAATTATGTGACAAAAAAATCTGTAAAATAAATGATAATGAACACATGGTGCGATAAAATTAGTACTTATATTGAAAACATTCGTTCTTTCTTTGAAAAAGGAATTAAATATCCGATTTAGTTAAATTTCTGTCATGTTGCATTGTCATCGCGCGTTGATCTACGTGCGAATTTCGAAAGAAATCGGTCCTGTATAAATGGTCGAAATTTCACTCGTCCGTTTCCATCCATGACGAATAAAGCATGACGGACAAAAGCAAGAGAAAGAAAGCTAAATAAAATCTCAAAAACAAGCTACTATTAAAAGTACATTTGCTACCTGCTTCAAAAAGAATAAACAAAAATAGATCACATAAATAAGCACAATATCCCACCAAGGAGCGTTAAATGAGAAAGAAAGAAATGTAAAAAAAAAATACAACATCTCTACCTTCTTCGAAAAGAACAAAAACAATCGACGCCACGTAGAAGTGCTCGAAAAAACGCAAATTGAATTTGTTGAAGCTAGGAAACACACAGGTGCTGTCGTCACCATCAGTCAGCATTTCTTCCGAGTTAGTTATGGCATAGACTGTTAAATCCTCTGTTGGTAAATCGTAGTGTAAATAATTATCAGGGTAAACATTAAGACGACTAATACAATACTAATAAGTATAACATAGCATTAATAGCTAGAATGAAAGAAAGTAAAATAGTAATTATATTGTGAATGATAAGGTTATAACAGCATAGCTTATTGTGATATATATATATATATATATATATATATATATATATATATATATATATATATATATATATATATATATATATAAATATACATACATACCACATTGTACTGAATAAATTGATAAACATAGCACAGTTGATAATGACAGTGCTATTAATAATTATATTTGTACTAATAAATATGATTATTGTTGAATAATACAGATCAATATAATATTAATAATAGAAATTACAAAACAGTAAATAATAATAATAAAATTAATGACAATAACAAAAAATTAATCATAGTAATAAAACAAGTTAATAAAAAGTATAGTGACAATTTAAGCGCAATTTCCTTATGTTATCCATAACAATTTTTTATTTTTTGTGACCGAACGAAAGGATATTTTTTTGCGCTTAAAAAAAAGACAACTATGTTAACCTATATCAACGGAAATAGTTTTATTTTAACGAGTAGGCCTACACGATGCTCAGTTTAAATGTTCTTAATTATTTTTTTTGTGACCGAACGAAAGGATATTTTTGAAAACTTTCTTCGGCAATATTGTTCTAAGTTATGGCAGAAATCGATTGGTAAATGTTTCAAGTCGCTAAGTGGTCTGGTTGCCGAGATATGTGCCAAGAACTGCATTTTTTCGAGGTTTTTTGGCTTTTGCGGGAAATCCAGGAAGGAATTCCGGGAATTTTTTTGACCCACAATCATCCTCGGAACTTGCTTAACATATTTGCTTTTGGAACTAGTCCTCGATATTGCTTCGTTGAGGAGGAGATACGACTTAAAGCTGCGGACACACATCCATCCGTCCATCCATCACCAGAAATGACGAGTTAATAATCGCAATTGTCTAGTATGGAAATTGCGCAAAAAAGTAATGATTTATTATAAAATATAATAATAACAATAATTACTACGACTACTATTACTACTAGCCATTATAATAAGAAACATAATGATTAAAATCATAGTTATAATACCAAAATTAGTTTTAGTGATAGTGAGGCTAACACTTTAGACATGAAAATTTTAGTGTGTTTTTAAAGGGTAAAAAATTTAAATCCTGCGAATACAATGTTAAAGACCTTCTCAATGACGCATTATTCGGTGCAGTACAACTCGTTCATATCGTAGAGAAATAAAACAAGAACTCACGAACAAAATAACTGGCTTCTGCATTTAGCAACCGGCACTCACCGTACATACAGTTTGTACCGAATGACCCCATTGGGCAGTCGCCGGTGTAACAGCTGCCGTTTTTTCTACAGAACGAATCCGGACACTCGCACTTTTCCGCACACTTCGTGCCGAATGTAGAAGTCGGGCAATCTTGGCCCATTAGCAGACAGAGTAGAAGAGCATATCAATGCTTGTTTCAATTACATTGCTTTGTAATTATCAATGTTAGATTTTAATGAATACTTGGGTTTTCGTTTACGGTTTAGGTTTTGTTAAAATATGTCTCATATTTAATGAATACTTGTGTTTTCGTTTACGATTTAGGTTTTGTTAATATATGTCTCATATTTAATGAATACTTGTGTTTTCGTTTACGATTTAGGTTTTGTTAAAATATGTCTCATATTTAATGAATACTTGTGTTTTCGTTTACGATTTAGGTTTTGTTAATATATGTCTCATATTTAATGTATACGTCTACATTTAAATTGAAACATTATCGAGAAAAGACAATGTTTAGTACGTTCTAGATTGGGGGCGCAAGCTTAAGATAAAGAACATGTTTTTGTACAGGTTTCAGTACATGTTTTGGTATAGGTAGAGGCGTAGCGAGGGGGGGGGGCATATGTCCCCGGGCGCAGACCTTAGAGGCGCCAAAATTGGTTGGAAAAACAAATTGAGAGTTTGAGGGGGGGGGGGGCTGCAAATTGAAATTTTGAAGGGGGGTGTGCAAATCGAAAGTTTGACCCCGGGCGGCGCCGGGAAGGGTCGCTACGCCTTTTGGTATAGGTGTTATTTACAGTAGCTGGTATTCCATTTGTACTTTGCCTTAACATAATTGTATTAGCTCCGTTGTTCATTTTGTTTTCGAGATTTATACACACAGACTTCATGGCAAAATATTAAGCTATCAAATACTAGGTCAAGTATACACTATCATTTCAGGTAACCAACTTTATTCATGTAAAAAAAGATACGAAAAAAATGTAAAAATATTTTATAAAATATTTAAGAAATCATTGAAAATACAGACACATTCTAAACCAAGCATTAGTAAATACATTTTATGAGCAGTGAATTATAAAATGTTACTTTTTTATCGTTTCGTAAAAAAAAGATAATTTAAAACCATTGTGTATTCACACACTAGAAAAGGTGTGTGAAATGTGTTGAAGATTCACGTCAACTTACGGAAAACATAATGCTCTAGTAGTTCAGGCATCCTTGTCTCCGTGTTCGCCTTCGCTGCTGATTTCACATCGCGCTGTTTAGAACACACAAATTGCTGGATTGAATTTTCATGGCCAGTCGCAAAGAAACAATTTATATGATACCAAAGGCTTTATGTGTTATCTAATTATATCTTTCAATTGATATCTCTAGGAAATGCTTTGACAAAAAATAGATTTTAGACATTGATATCCAGTCGCAAAGAAACAATTTATATGATACCAAAGGCTTTATGTGTTATCTAATTATATCTTTCAATTGATATCTCTAGGAAATGCTTTGACAAAAAATAGATTTTAGACATTGATGTAACGAAAGATATTGAATAGATAGGCTATTATTAGAAAATACAGCTTGGTGACAGCATTATTGTTGGTCAGAAAGTTCACAGCAGAGTATTTAAGTTAAGAAAAGAAATAGGTCTACTTCCTGGAAAGTCAAGCCACAGCCTTTAATGAACTGCAGCTGGAGGTCATTGAATTGCAAGCAAATGACCCCCTTAGGACAAGTTCAAAGAAGGGCGGGTGGATTTATATAAGTTTTTCACCAAGGTAGACTTTCCTAATAATAAACCTTTTGCATCATGGTACCTTACACATTTTGGAACACCATACCTGTGTGAACAAACATTTTCAAGAATGAAATACGTGAAGAACAACTTGAGAAAATTTTTTGAACTGAGTGTGATGTCACCCTTCCGACAGTGTTTCTTTCAGACGTTTTTCTCGGGGGGGGGGGGGGGACACTTGAAATTTGTTTGTATATATTTCTATATAAATTGTATTTCTTTTAGCGGGGGTGGGGGGGGGGGGGGGGTCCGGCACCCCGAAAATAGATGCCTGGAAGAAACTCTGGCCCCCGAACTGATATTTTATAGATAATTCGGCCCTCGGGCTGAAAAGTTTGGAGACCCCTGGTCTAGAGTAGCTTCTCTTGTGTTTTTAGGTAGAGTATCAACCTTCAAATTCTGTGTTGCATTTTGAATGAGACGTAAATAACTGTATATAGCTTCTGTATTATAGTAAGTAAAGAGGGAAGTGATATATTTGGCAGTTAGGGTATAAAAGGTTGGGACTGGAAAGTTTGGCGCTTAAAATAGTAGTGAAGGAGGCGCTCACTCCCTGTTAGTAAGTTGTGTCAGATTCTTGATGTATTATACTTGTAATTACCACCCAAGAAGCATTCGAACGAATTTGTCATCCTCTACCCTACACCTTCTGCCTTCTACCCTAACAGATAAGCCAAACTATTTCTGACTCTCCGACCCCCACGGGCCTAAGGCGTATCCCATGTTGATTTCCACCTCTCTCCCCCATTATTTCCGCATTTACACGGATAGTCAGCACTACCTGCCACCCAGAGGCGTAGTGAGGGGGGGGGGAGGGCGGGGGGGGGGGGACATATGTACCCGGGCGCCGACCTTAGGGGGGGGGGGCGCCAAAATGGGTTTGGAAAAACAAATTGAAAGTCTGATAGGGGGGACCCGTCGGTTTATATATAAAGTATGAGAGGGGGGGGGGGTGCAAATCGAAAGTTTGAGATGGGTACAAAATCGAAAGCTTGAGGGGGGGGTGCAAATCAAAAGTTTGTCCCCGGGTAAAAATTGGAACCCCCCCTCCCTTGAGACGATCCTGGCTACGCCACTGGAATGGTCTATGTTCCAATACGAGTTGAAAGCTGCGAGGAAGAACAACTCCAAGACAGAAACTCATTGGATCAAAATAGTCAACCCGGGAAGAACAATCAACGGATGCTTCATTTTTTTCACTGCCTCGTTACAAACTTCAAACATTAAGTAGATTATTAGCCGTTTGAAAAAAAAACCGAGCGTTACGTTAATTCCATACCGTGTTATACACGATGTATTTAACAATACAATCACTAGTACATTGAATTATTTGTTGTTTACCTCAACTGACTCCCGTGTTCAATTATCTCAAGTCATCTTCCCCCCCCCCCACCCCCACACACATATATTCCTATTTTGACACAATTAAAGCTACAATAAACACTATATGTGTGGAGAAGGTTTCGCTGATTTAACAACCATGACGCATTTCCTAAACTTTTTACCGCGTGAAACACGATGTCTTTTACAATAGGATCACGAATACATTAAATTTCTCATTTCTTCTCTCAATTATCTTGTGTCATCCGTCCACCCCCCACCCCCTCCACCTAGACTCCTAGTTTAACACTTGCATTACCTTAACTACAATTACAGACTGAAGGATATATGAAGGAAGTTTAGCTGTATTTAGAAACCACGAACACGTCCCTCGAACTTTTCATTTGCAACAACCCCTCAAACTTTCGATTTCCACCCCCCCTCGAACTTTTCATTTGCACCCCCCCCCTGAAACTTTCAATTTGGCACCCCCCCCCCCTAAGGTCGGCGCCCGGGGACATATGTCCCCCCCCCCGCGCCCCCACCCCTCGCTACGCCTCTGAAGACCTGTAATGTTACCTCGAGCTCAACGTTATCCGTTGCCAAAGGGATGTGAGAGTACAGATCTCCACCGTCTGCCGTCCGTAGTTTGAACACCACAAAGGCCAAGAAAGAGTTTTCAAATGAGGTTATGTAAGTATAGCTGTCTTTCAGTTCCGTTATCGCTAGATGTATTGTGCCTACTCGGATTATTTCATCCCATTTTCTATTTGAAATAAAATTAAAAAAAAAACAATCAAATTATTTGGAATTTGAAAAAAAAAAACGTACCAGAATCAAAAAAAAAATAAAAAAAATAATGGACTTAAAAACTGAGGCAGAATATAAATATGGAAAATAAAATAAAGGTAGAAACAAATTAAAACATTAACCAAAACCATTGTGACATCTAAGATTAGAGTTAAGACTAGGTTCAGGTAATGGTAGACGCGAGTTGAGATTAAGACAGATGGTTAATATCTAAAGAAGTCGAAACATCGCTATATCTCTGAGAGACTTATTCTGACGTCATTTAAAAAAAAAAATCCCGCACAAAGAGCAGAAAAAAATATAATCTCTAAATCACCTGTATATATTTTATATGGCGTGTGTAATATGTCTGTAATGTGTTTATCAATATTACAATGATGATAAATGATCATCAAATAATTATTCAAATTGTTTGCATTTAAAAACTACATTAAAATAGTACTTTTAAAAAGAACACGGGGTTCTAAGTCCTGGAACATTTTTGTTTTTAAATTCGTCCTGTTCAAAATATCTACCATTATTCAAATTGTTACTAAATCTTCAACTATAATAAATGAATGGGATACTACTCCGTTTTTAAATTCAAAGAGTTTTCACTGTTTTATTGCCTTTTAATTGTAAAGATTATTTATTTATTATTTCAAATATTTTCTTTTATTAAATAATATTTTTTTTTAAAATTACCCGGATAAATATTTTTTTTTGGAAATTCCTTTCGTTTTTATAAAAATGTACAATGTTTATAAAAAGTAATACATCTAATCAGCTTTGAATACTTTACTTCTCCCCAAATGGCCTTAACCAGCATGTAACAACTTTGCTTTGTATAGACTCAGTGGCGTAGCGAGGTGCGGCACTTAATGATGTCGACCCTTCCCGTGGACAAACTTTCAATGTTCAATTTGCACCCCCCCCCACCCCTCAAATTTTCTATTTGCACCCCCCGCCCTCAAACCTTTCGATTTGCATCCCCCCATTCAAACTTTCGATTTGCACCCCCCCCCCTCCCTCAAACCTTTCGATTTGCACCTCTTAATTAAAACACTATTTAACACTCAAATTAATCACTTAATTAAGTAGAATTATCATTTTCCTCTATATATTTTGCTATTTTTTTTTGCCTTGGTGTCCCCCCCCCCCCCTAAATGGTGTCACCGGGTGCGGTCCGCTATCCCCCCCCCCCCCTCGCTACGCCTCTGTATAGACTTACTCAACAGGTGAGCCATCAATCAATATTTTGACAATATCGGCCGAGAAAACTACGAGATTGTAAAGGAGATTTTCGTCTTGTACTAGCGGGTCTCTGAAACAAGACATAAGCAGGTAACTAAACACTTGTCACATTAAAAAAAACATATATTTACATAGTATTTTCCACAAGTGGCCGATATACTTAAAAGCTAAACAAGGTATCCTGACATCCTAATATATAAATCCCCACGTTCGCACATCTCTCTCTCTCTCTCTCTCTCTCTCTCTCTGTCTGTCCGCAAAATATTTTCGCCGGACATCACGTCAGAATCGGCAGCGATATATGAAGAACTTTTTACGGACTTTTGTTGAAAATAATATGTTAGATGTTTTAAATGTATAACCACAATTTTAGTTAAAGAAGAAAAATAAAAATTAAAGGCGTATTCGAATGTAGAGAAACAGTATTATTTATGCAACCGGAAAAGCATTAATATATGTGAAAAAGAACGCATAAAACTGTGACGTCACTATTGCTTATACATTAACTAAAGACGTCATCTGCCGTGTTTAGAATGAAAAGAAATGAACTATTTCATTCAAATTTGATTTAGATCTACGTACACTATGAAATGTATACAATACAATTTTTCCGGCCTAAACTCATAAAATTTATTTTATGTATTTGGATTCTAGATCTAGAGATTCTAGATCTAGACTAAATCTAAATCTACGCAATAACTAGATCTAGACGTAGACGCTAAGATCTAGATTTAGACTCTAACTTCTCTAAAATCAATTCCAAAAATAAATTTCAAATTAGGACTAAACTATTTCAAGACTTATTTATTTTATACAAAATCTTTGTTTGGAACTGGCTAATTTGGGATAAAAAATTAATTTGAAAGAATAGGCATATTCGCGTAAGTTAAGATTTTAAAATACGTATTCATTCTCCGTATTTTATAAGGTGCCTAAATAGTGGAGATGTTAGTGTACATTAAACCACGCAGGTGGTGCGGGTTCGAGACATATTATTTATTATTATTCGAGACACATTATTTATTATGCTCGGGCTAAACTTAAAAAAAAAAATTCTTTTAGGAATCTAGATCTAGATCTAGATTGTCGGGTGTCCGATAGGGCACTTCCCGGCGCCGCAGGCGCTTCAAATTTGGCATGATCTTGCCTTGGTGCGACAGAAAACGGGGCCGAAAAGTCTACGATGTGGGGGTCAAAACTGACCTCGACTGACCGGTACCTTATATGAGCTATAAATCGAAAAAAAATGTCCACGGAGGAACCTCTTCATAACTCTTGAGGTCGTAGACCGACCTTCGGGCGAATTAATTAAGCATTCAAATTCTCAATGTTTTCGAAAGCCTAAGCGAAGCTGGGCAGCATGCCTAGTATAATATATTGGCTTATAAAGGTCTTCTTATCATAATTAGCTTAAGGGCTTAACACGGCTATGTCCGGTTCTGATAGCCCCATGCTGGAAGATACTGCTTGACCAATCTGAACCATAGACTCACAGTAAAAACAAGACTCATATAGTCCATACAATCACATTGTAAAATTTACTTCATCTAGTGATACTATCAATATATCTATATATATAATTATCTTCCTTGAGACCATAGAAACACCACGCAGCTCAACCACCACCCTCATCCCCACCTGTCAGGTGAGCTGTGGTTCACCCCGAATGTTTACAATAGTAGAGCCGGCACCCCGAATGTTTACAATAGTTGAGCCGGTTCGGAGGAATGACGGCTATTCGGGGCAGATAATTTAGTTTTTAAACGATTTGAAACTAAGGGGAGATAAGTTCTGCTTGATGTTTTCATTGTCGTCTGTAAACGGCTGCTTTCACTGGGCGTGGTGGGGTGGGGGTGGGGGGGAAGGGGGTGGGGTAGTGTCGAATTCACAAACTATGAATTGTTGATAAGTAGAAAATAAAACAACTAGATAGCGGCGTGGAAAGTTAGGGTGAGGATAATCGTCCTTCACTAGCTAATGATAGTGTTTTAAATCAAAATATTTTCTGTCACAGCATTGGTAGTGTCGAATTCACAAAATATGAATTACTGAAAAATAAGAAATTATCTAAATAGCGGCGTATGCTACGTCGCGGGTCAGCTCGTAACATTTAATTCATCTAGTCCATCCTCACATATTAAAATTTAATTCATCAACGTCCACACACTCACATAATGAAAATGAACAGAATAAAAACATAGACTCACATAATGTAATTGAAATACGAGCCTTGATACGCCAGGGGTGACAGGATTTCACTTGGCCCAGTAGCAAAATAAATCAATGGGCTGTGGTCAGCCACAAGGATGGAAACAGATTTTCTTGTTGTTGTGCTGAGCTGCGTGAGTTATAATAAACAAGTCACAACATTATCCTGGCCGAACGGGTCTATTACAATTATATATATATATATATATTGTTGTACGGTATGCTATATTTCAAATAATTCCACAGCACAGTGCTGATTTTATTTGCTATTTGAATAGTACCCTTTCGTACCTTTACTGTCCAAATGGCGGGTGAAGTAGAGCTCTCCTGTTTTATTGACCTCAGCAAAGTGAAGGATAGCGTGGTCAGAACTGAAGTCAGTTCCTTTACTTTCCCTAACGTAAATCAGGTACCTTTCAGACCTGAGTAGACATGGACGTCGTAAGGACCACAACCCAGTAGCCGAACTCAAGACTTTCATGTTAGCTGTCAAACACTTCATCGTTCGACCACAGCATCCCACTTCCTGGCAATATATCACTGACTACCTGAGACACAGTAGCGTAGCGAGGGGGGGATGGGCGGGGGGACGGAAATATGTCCCCGGGCGCCGACCTTAGGGGGCGCCAAAATGGGTTGGAAAAATAAATTGAAAGGTTGAGGGGGGTGCAAATTGAAAGTTTGAGGGGGGGGGGGTGCAAATCAAAATCTTGAGGGGGTGGGGGGTGGGGGGTGGGGGATGGTGCAAATCGAAATCTTGAGGGGGGGGGTGCAAATCGAAAACTTTGTCCCCGGGCGCAGGGAAGGGTCGCTACGCCTCTGCTGAGACAGACCTTTCGGACAGTGAAAGTGACCTAACAGACCTTTGTGAAACTGTGGAGGTCTTCGAGTGTGCAGGAAAAGTCGTCCGGATCTCTCGTGAAGTACGATGTGTTTTTTACCGCCGGCAGGAGGTAGTAAGAAATCTCGGGGAAATACTTGTTGCTGCCCATGATGAACCACACTGTCCGAGAGGTGTTGGAATGTATTATCGGTGCCGATAACATTTCTAAAAAAAAAAAAAAAAAAAATAAACGTTAAAAAAAACGGTCATGGTGAACTTTAGAGAAAAATGTGCAAAAAAAAAAAGGGTCCATTCGGGCATTTGTCGCATTCGGGCAAGTGTCCATTCGGGCAATTGTCGCATTCGGGCAAGTGTCCATTCGGGCAATTGTCGCATTCGGGCAAGTGTCCATTCGGGCATTTGTCGCATTCAAGCAAGTGTCCATTCGGGCAATTGTCGCATTCGGGCAAGTGTCCATTCGGGCATTTGTCGCATTCGGGCAAGTGTCCATTCGGGCATTTGTCGCATTCGGACAAGTGTCCATTCGGGCAATTGTCGCATTCGGGCAAGAATCCGTTCGGGAAATCGGCCTTCGGGCAAACGCCATTCGGGCAAGTGTCTTTCGGGAAAACGTTCGGCTCCCGCGAGGAACTAACTAGGGACAAATGACTTAGCGCTAGATAGTTAACGCAAACATTTTTACTCGTAGGCTATGTAGTGCCAACTTCGTTTTGGACGAATGACTATTAAGTGGAAAATAAATCCCAAAAAATAACGACATAAACGCACTAAAGAGAAAAAAATACATAGTTCACTTTGGTGTAACTTCAAAGGCGTAGCGACCCATCATGGCGCCCGGTGACAAACTTTCAATTTAGAGCCCCACCCCCATATATTTTTTTTATATTTATAATGCAAAGCTGCAGCCAAAATGAGATTTTAATTTTTTTTCCAACCCATTTTGGCACTCCCTAGGGTCGGCGCCCGTGGACACATGTACCTCCCCGCCCTCCCCCCCCCCCCCCCCCTCGCTACGCCTCTGTGTAACTTTACTCACGCTATACGCTGGTATTACTCACAATAAAAATCCTTGGCGCTGAATTTATGAAAATTAAATATAGGACTTATATTACAATATAGGAAGTAAACCTATCAAATTTACTCGCTACAAATAGAAATATATTTTCCAAAAACGTACTCATTTTTAGGCATACCAGCATATCATTTCGTTATAACCAACAGCAACCATTTAAGTTAAGACAACACCCTTAGCCACTGACAAGTCAAACAAACCACTATATATATATATATATATATATATACATATATATATATATATATATATATATATATATATATATATATATATATATATATATATATATATATATATATATATATATATATAATTGCTCAAGGGAGCGCACTGTAAAAGATAAAAATGAAAACGTACCGGAAAGGAAGGTGACTATATAAAACTCTGCTAACAATTCTCCTACTAACAAGACGCCTATTGGCTCATCCGCAGATATAAAAGTCCCTTGAAGAAAATGAAAACGCAGTGGTCTTTTATAATATCAACTTAAAATGTGTGCGTCACACAGAGGCGTCGCCGGGCGGTGGCTAGGGGTGCGGACCGCGCCAAGTGATACTATTTTGGGGGGGGGGGGGAGACATTACACAAAAAAATAATTTCTAGATTTATGGAATAAATGTTTTTTGCCAGTTGATTAGAGTTTGAAAAGTAATTGAAGTACATAATGATGATCCCGATAAGGGGGTGTGGGCTGACACAATGACGTAAAAATTAAAACTATAAAGAAAACAATACTACACCAAGTTGTATTAAAAACCGACTGTAGATAAACATCATTAGTATTAAATGTGAACACTTTAAAGCTATTAACGGGGGGGGGGGGGCGGGGAACTGGCACCAACTGCAAAATTCACAGCGAAAAAAAAGGGGGGGAGGGTGACACCGTAAAATGTGCCGCACAGGGTGACACCCGACCT